GTAACATGGAGCAAAGTAACTTTTGTATGGAGCAAAGTAACTTCGATTATGGAGCAAACTGACTTTTGGTTGCAGCAAAGTGACTGGGGGCAAAATGACCATAAACCCTTTCCAGAGAGCTGAGTTTCAGCACTACTGTGCAGTTATCTCTACACTTAGCATTCACTGCTCTCAGTACATGTTTCAAAATTGTCTTTGAGTCAAATATGCAATCAGCATTGATAGGATAAACAGAACTTTACATCTTTGCCTGTGGGTACAAATAATCTTCTCTTGTTGATAATTTCAACTCAATAATCAAAGACAAAATTTGTATCCACACCCATCCATGTAATATCCTCTAGCTATTTTCCATATCTTAATAAAAAAGTAACTCTGCCCATCAAAATTTAGCAGGAGAATTCTGCACAGTAGCAAGAGAATTCTGCATGGTAGCCAGAGAATTCTCTGAACGCTGACATCTAATTAACACCCAGCATTTACTTTGGCCAAAGCTTATCTAAATTTAATCACCTGTATTAGTGACTGTGAGACATAAGTAGCAAGGTTTGGCCTTGTTCCAAGGTAATTAAGAACATAGTTACCTGAAACACCATAAACAATCTGAGTTATTTTAAATCTGTAAAAGTACTTTAATAATTTATTGATTAAAAAAAAAAATTCATGGAATAGCCACTGATATCAACCTTCACAGAAATCAGCATCAAGATAAAACATTTGGCTGAGTATAAAATAGAGCCCCTTAAACTCATTTCTGGAAAATGAAAGTTTTAAATTTACAAGTAATAAAATGATTCCTGCTGGTGAACTGTGAGTAAAGAAATTTCAGAAAAGGAAGGCTGAAAAGATTAAGACTTTGATGACTAGGGTAAGGGGGGGGGGGGTCCTTCTTACATTTTACATACATCAAATAGTAAAAACGGTGATCATGAAGAATCAGATAAACAACTTAAAGGTTTGTGTCTCACAAAAAATTCACAGTTTACAGGATTATAATTTTGCATTTTCACTGGTCAGGAAAATTTCAAACACTTAATCCTGTATCATGCATTATCCTTTTCCCTCCCTCTTTCATGGCGCTGGAACCCATGCCTACCAGATACTAGTTGAATGTCACTACCAGCTAGGCCACATGTTGGTATTTTTTTTAAGGATTATATATTCATTAAAGGATTGTGTTCACAATTGAATGTAATCATATGATTTTGTGGATGAGATATAAGTGACAAGATAACAAGATGATCCTGGCAAATGAACTGCATACATAACAAACTGCAGGAATGCAGACTGAATTCGACTCCACCCTGTCCTACCATCATTTTAACTTTCCCTAAAAACCAAGCTGAAAAACTTACGCATGTCAAGTCTTTGTTCCACAGGAAGTGTTGTGTTCTTACTGATAAGTCTTGTCAAAGAGGATGCTGCTATCAATTGGGAATAGGAAGACTGGAAAATAGAATTTTAAAATGTAAGGGGTTTAGTAGCAGTGCTGCGAGATGTGTTTATTTGTTTTCGATACATTAAGTTGTATTTTTGAAAGCTTCAATCTCAATGTGCAGACTTTACCTAGTAACTAAAAATGCAACCAAGAATTATGGCCCACAAAATTATTTCCTATGTGCTACCTATCCCAATCATTGCTAAACGTCTATCTCCAAAGTCTCTTTTCTGACATCATCACCTGAGGGCAGCAAAGATTTTATTTGCTTCTCCAGAGTGTCTACTTGGGAAATTTGATCATGGCTACTGCTACTTTTGATTACGAATGTTAAAAAGTATTCATTATTAAGTGTGAAATAAGGTTCTCAAATCAGAAGTACAGAATTTCACAAAAGAAAGTATGACTGTATGCAACATTAGGATGGAAATACAGCATTCACACATGATGCACTGCAATCATCTTGTCATGAAATACAATCTGATTGACGTTTAGATACCGAGAAGCGTTTACATTTGAATCGACTAGGCGTCATGTTTAACTAGAGTAATAACAAAAAAATTAATCCGTCAAGCATGGCACATGCACGTGCAAATAAAAAAGAAACAAACTTAAATGACAAATACAATTAAATGATGACAATCTGTAAGAGTATTCACATCAAAACCAAAACATTTCAATAAATAGGATTTTTATTCTGCGGTATGCAAAAACGCACGTGATAATTAGCACGGGATTTGGATAGGTAACAGACAAGGAAAAATACCCTAAAGATATAATTAATTACGCGCGCGAAACCAAGCATAGTGGCATCAGGCTATAGTCCAGAAGTACACTAACTGAAACAATAAACACTTTTTTGTGAACAAAATATCCGTTACATTGTAAGCTGCAAAGATGTTATGAGAAAACTTACACTCCCGCGCTCCAAAAGATATTGACACTTGGTCAGACAGTCAGGGGAGTTTGTGAAAGTGGAGAGCGCCCTTTCCGCCGCATTTCTTGTCACGGTATCGGTAGCTTCGTATAGCTGTTTGCAGAGGAGGTCAAGCTGAGCAATCTCCTGCAAAGAGAGACAAATCATCAGGGAAGCCTGTACAACAAAAACAATCGCAAAAGGTGTTTTTTCAAGCTCCATATACTTTATCCCAGATTACCTGTTCCTCCATTTTTGTTTTGGAACAAGACGTGGCGCACTTTGCATGCGCAGAGAGAAGAGAACCGCTGATGACGTCATGTTTTTAGTGATTTAGGTTTATAAAGAACATTGCATGGTTTGTCGGGCAGACAACAGAATTCGCTTCTTTAGAGATATTTAACAGACATTGACTAGGTAAAATGATCCAGCATCTTTACTTGAAAAGTAAATAACAAACTTGATTTGCCAAAAATGGTTGATCGATTCGTCCACCCAGGGGTCATAAGCGTCTATTGCGTGACGTTGTAACTCATAAAATTAAGAATACATTTCAAAGGACTAAGCCAACCCATACTGCCGAAATCACAAACCATATTATCACAGAACATTACCGAAAAAATCCGTAGCCTACGTGTAGCCGTACCCTCCCCCTCCCAAGTTGAAACGGAAGCGAGGGGAAGGTACGGCTACGCGTAGGCTAAAAAATCAGCTATAATTAATTGCAATACTTATCAAAGCAGATACAATAGTAATACTTTCAATGCTATATTGTAAGTGCATACACAAAGCCCTTCTAAATGAGAGTTAAATGAAAACAACAACAACAACAAAACTTAAAAAAAACAACATACAACCTTTGTTGTAAAGTTTCATTTACTGTGATGAGTCTTCAACGGATCTACTCAGCGCGGAAAACTAACTTTTTGCGTAATTTTTTTCGTGAAAAACACCGAGTAGCTTTTTGTCACAATCACTGAATTTTTCTAATTCCTCGCTAAGGTTGGTCTGCTTCCATCTAACAGCTTAAACCAGGTGATACGCTTGGCCTTTTTATACGCCGATCAGCGAAAATCACCAGGTGTGCCCGGTGCTGCGAGAGCGATTTTGGCCGACCGGCCGAGATCGGCACATAAAATCGCAGATATCTGTCGGCGATTTTCGCCGGAAATCAAATTCGTCGCGATATCGGGGAATAAGAGCGCCAAGTATATCACCGGTAAGATATAAGATACCCAACGGAAGTTTACTGGCATCTGGACACAGGAATAGCAAAAAATAAAAGGTGGCTCGGTAACTTTTTATTACAATAGCGACATGGAGTGAAGTAAGTAAAGACGAGATGATTAACTAGCTCTCAACAGCATCGATGAAGAAGATATATAAATGAATCTCCTAACTGAATCATTCAGTTAGGAGATTCAGTTATATATCTTCTAGGAGGCTCCTAATAAAGTTGTTTAGATTCAGAAGATATGCCATAAATCCTCTGTGGAAGATAAAACGAAGTTGGAAAGAAGGTTCATGTCACTTTCGCGTTCCAAAAAGTCTAGGAAAGGTAATAAAAACTGTTCTGACTGGGGAACAATAGAAACCGTTTTAGGATATCGGTCAAATGCTACCATTAAATGATTCGTGAGTGAAAAAAAAGTAAACATATAATCACAGAAGACCAAATATTCAAATTCGAAAAAAAAAATTTTTTTTACACTACGAGAGAAAACTTCTCTTTGCTAATTATAATGCAAAAGTGGCTGGAAAGTATTTTACAATATCCTTCAAAAGTTTCCTTTTTGTAAATGTTGTCCTTCACAAGTTTTTTACCAATCACCTTGTTTTAAAACCGGCAAAACAGTTTCTGGACAAAGGACTTTTCGTGGGATAACATGTCTTATATTTAATCTTATATTTCCTAGAGGAAAGTTTCCTCAAAAATCTTGTCAAGGAAAACGTATCGAAGTAAGTGTCCCATTATTTTGCATCAAGAGAGTCTGTCTGTAGAAACATTTTGGCAGCAGAATACATTCTCAGATAAATATTTACCTCTATTTCTTCAGAGACCTTGTCAGAGTTCCAAGTACATATATGATTAAAAGGAATTTTGCTACCGGAATTAAGGTACTAGTGTTTCTTACAGAATTTCCTTGGTTAAACCGTGTTGCAAAGTTCAAGTTGGTAAAGCGACGAAAATTCAACAGAAAATTTATTATTTATATTATTTTGGTGGCGCAAACAGATCTGGGACCGATCTTGGAATCGAACTAAATATGGCAAGCTTTTGAGTAGATTTTCTCATGTCCACGAAAAAAATGGGACAAACTTAAATCCTCTTTTCAGCTTAATTTTAAGTTATTCAAACTTCTCGTTTCATGTCCTAATTTTCGCGGCACCAATTAAGACAATCCATATAGTATTAAGGGTAGATTATAAAAAATTCATGTCTTGTCTACGGTTATATCCACTTACCTCAACGAAAAGTTCCGCTCATTTGGTGTCATGCCAACGCGGATACATGGAGCTCTTGCTCATGATGCCGGTGAAAATTGAAGAGATCTAGACTTGGCTTCGAAACTCAGGGTTGCGAAGTGGTGCCTAAACATTAAACTGACTCAGTACTACGCGTACTAAAAAGAAGTCAGTTTGAGTATGTTTTTGGGGGTGTTATATTATCTCCTTCCTCTATTGCAGGTAGGAACACTTAAGGTATTCACAATTAAGTCGTGCAAAATGTTTTGTCACCGCAGAGGCAAAGCAAAAATTAAGTGAGCTTTTCTATGTGCCGGATTGCCAGACTGTTACGTCATGCCTCAGGTTTATAGGTAATGCTAGAGGACACGGAGACAAGTGAACTGCGGCTAATTTTTTTCAAAGCTAAAAGATGAACTTTTTTGTTCTTTATTTGTTTTCGTTAATTTTTGGGGTGGTGAGTATCTCTTGGTGTATCAAAACTGTTTTTGGTACGAAGAAATTACACTGAATTGTTGTTTTTTACAATAACGAACTCTTAACGACACGAATAGATAGACGGTCGTTCACAGTTGACAACCAAATATTTCCAGTACATTTTGGAAAGTTTTGTGTATGTAGCTAGTTTCCGAGCAGTGAAACTTAATCTTCTCATCGATATAATTTAGAAGCTACATAATATGAAACTGGATACTTTGATGCCAGTTCGAGGTCTGTTACACAATTGCGGTCCTACAATTTAACTCACCGAACAGCGAAGAGAAGTTGCATTAGTCCAAGAAAATTGCAGCCTTCGGCTGCTTCCTTTCCTTAGCCTTTTGTTTATTTTTCGCTCAAGGCTTATGTGGACATTTTTTTCTACAGGTTTTGTCTGATTATGAAACACAAGGAAGCTTGATCATCAATTCATCACAGGGTATGTACAATTGAATTAAAATGACAGAAAACGTTTTCGAGAAAACACAGACTAAACTCATCATAAGCAGAGACTCTATTTACTTCATTTGTGCTTTTTGTCAACATCTTGATGAGGGTGAAATGTTTTGGCAGTTTCTAATGATATTTGTAGCTACTAAATTTATTCATTCTTTTGATATCAGCTCGAATTCCAGGTAACACGACAATCTAGATCCTGATTCGGCCTCTCACTGAAAGGATTCTGCAAATAACATAGGAAAGAAGTGGGGTGCCTTAGCATTGTCACAGCCCGCCTCCCTCCCTTTCTCACTTTCCCAAAAGAAAGAAACAACCGAAAAAAAAGGGCAAAATCCTACGTAATATTATTAGGTTAGTCAACGGCTTTGTTGTCTCCCGAGTTTTGAGTTTTAGGACGCGTGAGGTAAAACAACTTGTGTAAACGAAATGTTTGAAAGGCCCGCGGAACCTGTTAATTTTTCATTGTTAACTGCCGTTACTCTAGCTCCTCATTCGAAACTTATGTTCTCTAGTTTGAAACAATTTAAGTTCAATGTAGCCTTGTCCTCTTGACAAGACTACAGCGGCGATCATTTCGTTTTGCCTGAAGCTTTGCAAAACCCTTAAAAACTCTACGTTGGCACATATAAAACAGCTGAAGAGTCGAAAAATGGTATAGGAAATGTCTGCTAATATTTGAAATTGTTTGATAACCAGGCACATATTACTAACTTTTGTTTTCGTGTTTTTGCCGTGTGCGCCGGAAAACGAACTGAATAAATATGGATTAAGAGTGGTAATTAGATACAATAAGGGGCATTACATGTGATGAGGGATTTTAAAGCGGTTAGAACACAGATTTGCTTTCGTAATACTTTTCTAGGTGTCTCAAAACAATCATTCGTAGTTTGATCCTGTTTACACAGGAAGCAAAATATCTGCACGTTTTGAGCTTTCCAGCGAAAAAAAACGACCAGCATACATGACTATGGAAAGACACCTTCCCACTAAGTCAATGAAATCTTTCAGGTGCACTATTGATACTTCTCTATATTGTTTTAATAGCATCTTAGACACTAGTGGCCTTCAAACCGGATTAAGTTTTGCATACGAACCATTTAGCTCACACCTCCTTGAACCCTCTATGAACCCATACCAATTATTTTGTAGCATCCCCTCAAATTTCTTTGTTTCAACCAGAAAATTCATCAGTGCCCTTTTAGATTCGTGGGTAGGGAAAGACATTGCGAGAGTGAATTTTCTCTCTTAGTAAAACCCAGTGATCCCCAAAGGGCTTCAACTCGGCTTTCACAGCACTTACAGTTTTATTATAATCTCCTCTAATTGTGGCAATTGTCGGAAAACCTGACTGTCTTCGGGTACGACTTACACAGTATACCGACAATTATTTTCCAAACGGAAAATAACTGCGTTTGCGGCAATATCAATACTTCAAAATTTGTTGCGTGTTACGGACACGGGCGATTTTTCAGTGAAGCTGTAAAGCGTTAAATAACTAGAGAAGACTATCACACATTTGATTCTTTGCTTTAAGTAAGCTTTAGGCGTTATGAGTGCAGTCTTTCAAATCAATTCTGCGGAAAAATTTTCTTCTCGTGCAACGAGACCGCTTATTACATACGGTTTTGCCTTTCAGTGTTTGAAACGGAATATATTAAGATCGACAACCAAAGAAAATACCTGTTGTTTATTTGCTCTGTCATTGAAGAGGCAGATGTGTAATCGGTTGCGTTGGCCAAATTTGTTCAACTTAAACAATTTGGAAAGGATATCAAAATGCATCTGCTGACATACTCGCCCGATAGAACGAAGATCGAACAACGAAAAATTAAGGAAGAAGGAGAAAACGCCCTATAAAAACTTGGTAGCTTTACCTAATTTTCAAACTATTCGATATAAAAATGGGATTTCATGCAACTAACCACTAAAACGCTGGGATGAAGCTGGAATATTAGTCAAAAGTATTATTCTCGATCCCACGTATTAGCCAATGTACGTCAAAGAAACCAACCCGTAAAGTAAAGCTGCATTGGCATTAACTTTCCCTCAGTCTTTCTCTCTTGATCATACAACAACACGATGGTTAGCTTCTGGATCTTTGCCTTGTCATAGCTGTTTTCCATCGAAAAAAATTCAGCCCAAATATACTTAGTTTCCAGGTTGAAGATCTCTGTTGATTAAAAAATGATTCAGCTGGTCCTTGACGCAAGAAGATAGGAGAATTTTTTGATAAATACTAGGCGGCTATTGATAACGAAACATTTAGAAGAAAATGTTTTAAATAACTATAAAACGGTTTTTTTTAAGTTTGAAGGTGGCCAAGAACTTCTTTTTTATTTCCAACTCGCCTCCTTTGTCACAATCGCCTCATTTTCCCACTTCTTCTTCCTTGATAGCTTATTACCACTTCTGCGAGTTCCAAGTTCTCCCTAAAGCAGTGTACCCATTCAATAACATTACCGTCGCCAACGATGTCTCGCCTTACAAGGGCGTTGGCTTTGCAGCAGGAACAGAATTCTCACCGGGAATTCACGGCGAGGAACAAGGCTCCATTGAAGTCCAAGGCCGCGCAGACTCTTACATCGAATTACGGAAAGACGCTGGGAACCTGAATATTAAGAGATCTATTACCATCTTGTTGTATGTGTATCCCCTCGGTAGGGCAGGTCCTATTGTTAACTACAAAAAAGATGGACATGGAGTTCAGATTTACGAGGATAGATTTTCAGACAGGGCATTGGCAACGCGTGTCAATCGTCGCAATCTTCGGCGAACAGCAGTTATTAAGAAGACTGGAATACTGACCCGAAATGAATGGCATTATGTTGGAATGACCTATGATTACAGTAGCGGGTTGGTTAGCCTGTGGCACAACGACCAGGAAGTCTCATCAGGAAACATAGGAAGAACAGAGATCGCTACACAGTTTGATGTACGCATCGGAGCTCGCCAGACATCAACGGACGACTTTTTTAAAGGCAGGGTGGCATGTCTGCAATTTTACTCAACAGTGTTGACGCAGAGACAAATCGAAAAGGCACGTATAGCGTGCAAACCCTGTAAGTAAACAGTCACTAATAAAATTAATTGTGCGGTTATCATTTTAGCTGGTCTAATGCAGTTAACAACCCAACCCAACATCCTTTCTCTCCAACGTGATAATCTTTAGCCAAAGGTTCAGAAACTCTGAGATCACTCGCCCCTAATTTCTCCTCCTTACCTTTTAATGTACCTTGTTTTAACGTTTTCCACCCAGTCATCCATCAGCAGGTATATTATACTTTCACAGGAAATTTTAGCGAGTGATCTCCAGCCCTCTGAGTAGCGTGGTTAGAACCTGTTTAGGTTTCACCAGTAAGGCAAAGTTTAGTTTCTGCATGTAGGAAAACTTGAATTGATGCTGATCGGGTTTCCAGCAACCAGCTCCTTTCAGAGCTCAGTTTAAAAGATACATTGATGTGTTTTTGAACTTTTTAACTCGCCGCAAATAGAGACGAGGACGAGTAAAGGATGGCAAAAATAAACTCGGAATACAAATGATGACCTAAAAAAATTCGCATTTCTAAAGACGGACAAACCGTAAAGTAAATCCTTAAATAAGTTTGGCTTGTTTGAGAGCAGTTACTCAGTTCCTTCACACGATTTATCCAGTGATCTTTTATTAACTTCATTTCATAGTTGAACCCGTCAGCAGGATTAATATGGTTATACACCACAAAAGCAGGTACATTGAAGTCAACGAAAACATTTCAGTGGCAGTGCACAACGACAAGAACTCAAAGTTTAGCGAGTACGTATACGATCTAGGTGACGGAAGCCCGACGGTCACCTCCGATCGAGAAGCAATTCACCACCGTTATTCAACGTATGGAGATTTTTCCGTGAAGGCCATCATATTTAGCCGTTGCCGTAATGAAACTTTAGTCGTCAGAGCAACTGTGACTGTTGAAAGACCTTTGGAGCTCCTGGGAAACCTGACCCTGTCTTATGACCCTGTATCATTCCCCTCCGTGTTTATTGCAGTTCTGAGTTTAAATCGAGGCACTGATTTCAAATGTAATTGGAACTTCAGTGATGGTCACCTGGCTGAGACAGACTTTGCGCATCATGGGTTGATGCACAAGATGAATTACCAGTTTAACTCAGCAGGAACGTATACACTTAACGTCAGTTGTGTCAACAGGCTTAGCACAGCAAATGTTTCCTCGCTAGTATTTGTGCAAGTTCCCATCACAGGTCTCGTTATTGACAAAATTACTCCTAAAACCTACCTCAGCGAGTTCCTTGTCACGTGGCGAGTACAAACTGGCAGCGATATCCACTACACAGCTAGATTTGAAAATAAGGAGCTTAAGATATTCAAAGGTCAGAATGATTCACGCGGATGGGCTTGGATACGACGTCAAGATCACGTGAGTGTAGGTCTCTTTGACGTCACTGTAACAGCGACCAACAAAGTAAGCGCAGTTTTACAGGCTTCAGAAACGATTCGCATTGAAACAGAAGTACAACCCTTTGTGCCAGTTATATACCATTCAGATCGAGACATCGAAGTTAACGAGACTGTTGTCCTATCTATGACAAAAACTAACGAGGAAAATGCGGCCAATCCTTACTATCTTATCGACTTAGGAGATGGAAGAAATCCATTGAACACAAGAGGGATAATGACAAACATCAGCTATCCAGTCTACGGGGACTTCTTGGTGACAATTAATGCCTCTAACAACGTATCTTTCTTCATTGCGAATATTTTGATCAAGATTCACAAACCAGTGCTGTTGGTAGAAGATTTGTCCTTGACCACTGAACCGACAATCTTCTTACAAACTACAGTGATAAGTGCGCACATTCCAAGAGCCTCCGATGTTATCTGTAGCGCTTCATTCCATGAAATTCCTAATTACAGCAAGGAGTTCGACCTCCGCGCGCAGTCCGCCTGGGATCCTGTCAAGGATCCAATGAACATGAACGTGCCTGATGTCCAGTTTTTTATAAAGCGCAATTATACAAAAGTAGGAGTTTATAAAGTGACTGTCACTTGTAGAAACCGTCTTAGTGAAAAGACTGCAACAATTGCTGTTACTGTCCAGAGACCAATCATTGGTGCTCGACTCATTCCCATTAAACCTATTATATTTGGAAAACCGATCAATATTAGCTTCGGTTTTACCTCGGGGACCAACGCCTCTTTCGCAATAGACTTCAACGAGCATAGATTCCGTCGGAACATGACAGGTCTCTCAGCATTTCATATCTTAGATGAAGATGTTTACAAATTCCCAGGGATACACGAGTACACTGTGGCCGTGTGGAACCTGGTGACGTCTCCGATTTGGATTCAAGGGCACGTCATTGTCGAGATTCCCATACATAGTCTGACAGTGTACATCATGGGAAATCCACGTGATATAGAAGTGAACGAGAGCGTGTCCATAGTTGCGAGTCTCAAAAATGGTAGTAATCCAGAATTTGCGTTTGACTTCAATGATGGAGGTGAGCTGATGGTCACTCGAAGACATCTTGTTGATTACAAGTTTAATCCTCATTCTCATTATGTGGTTAATGTCACTGCGCGAAACAATGTAAGCGAAGAATTTGCGCTGCTAAAGGTAAAGGTTGTCAAGCCGGTACTCGTTCTCCGAGGTCTCTCACTCCGTACCGCGCCAACTGCTGTGAATGACTCAACTAAAATCGTCCTTTATTTGCGGGAGGGCTCAGATTTTTTCTGTACATGGCAGTTTGGAGATGGATCAAGTCTGAATTCTAGTTACCACCATCTTAGCTTTTATGCCGATGGGAAGACAGCGGAAAGAGAAGCCTTTCAAAACCTTAAATTTTACGTTGAACATAGATTCTCATCTGCAGGTATCTTTGTTGTCACAACCCGTTGTCAAAATCGCTTGAGTTCCGAAGTCGCTTCGGCGGAGGTCGTGATTCAAACCCTCGTCGAGGGCTTGAATATTCCAGTAATTCCCGCCCAAAGTATTGGTCGAGAATTTCGAGTTTTCTGGAGCATATCATCAGGAACAAATGCTACGTTTCAAATCAGTTTTAAGGGAGGAGAGATCACTTCTATTCACACTTCAGAATTAGAAGGTCACGCTCGTGTGGTGGTCAATATTCCTGGTGAATATTTCATTCAGGTAACAGCCCATAACTTAGTAAGCCCAATACAAAACAGATCAGCGGTCATCTTAGCAGAACTTGCTGTCACAAATATCACCGTCAACGTTACATTTGCATCACGTGAGTTAGAAATTGAACAAAACGCGACCTTCACCGTTCAGTTAGGTGCTGGAACAAGCCCAATGTTTTTGTTCGACTTTGGAGACGGCAATAAAGTGAAGAATACTTTGGGAAAGATCTCACACGCCTACGCCTACAAAGATATTTATCTGACACAACCGAACTTCACCTACCAAGTTTATGTGTCAGCCTATAATAACGTGTCCTCAGTCTCTACCATAATAAATGTCACCGTGCATAGACCAGTTCTTCAACTACATAACATGAAGCTGTCGACGTTGCCTTCAAACGTGTCTGAAAACGCGAGAATCGTGCTTTCAATCGATCAAGGCTCGGATTATTTCTGTGATTGTGATTTCGGAGATGGAAGAGCGCTACACCGGCTAAACATCCCAAACAAAGTGTATCTGGGCTCAGTCCGAACACCAGTTAAGAACTTTAACAATCACAGTTATCGAATAAGTCATGTCTACCAAAAATCTGGAAAATACCATTTGCTTGTGGAATGTAAAAACCGGCTTAGTTATGGAAGGGATACCCAGGAAATTACTATACAAGAGCCGATAAAAGATCTAAAAATTTCTAACTTGCACCCTCGACAGTTTAACGAAACTTTTGTTATTTCATGGCAAACAACCAATGGCACCGATGTAAACTTTCGGATTCTTTTTGGCAATGTAATTTCTAAGGAGTTGGGTGGGAATCGAAACGTCACCATTAAACCTGCAGAATATAAAGCTGCGGGTGTATTTCAAGTAGTGGTTGAAGCATGGAACTTCGTCTCCAGGGCTGTTGCTAAAACAGCGCTGATAATCCAACATCCGGTACATATTGAAGATGCATATGCTAGGTTACCCCAACAAGGCGGTTCACATGGTGGGCAAGGTTTTCATAGCAACAACTTTCCAGCTTGCCGCAACGTCACATTCCAAGTTTTCGCGCTAGGAACTGACTTATCGTATCAATGGCAGATCGATAATGAAAAAGGGAAATTCGGACCAAAGATGCGCATTCAGCACAGTTTTCGCCGTGTAGGAATTCACACTGTGATGGTTCTGGTAAGGAACTTGGTGAGTGAGGCGCATGCGAACATCAGTGTAATGATTCACTACGCCATAGAGGATCCTATCTTGCAAATCAACAGCCCTCAGAAAATTAATCAACCAATTTTATTTTACATAAGCGCTAAGCAGCTCGGCACAAATTCTTGCTTCTTTGTCGATTTCGGAGACGGGACACGTTCCTTGTTTGGACATCCCGGATGCAAAGCAAGAAACTCAACGTCCAGCTTTATTGTCAAATCAGCCGTTGAAAGCGTTAAGTTTGATCATGTCTACAATCAGGTGGGACAATATGTTGTTGCCTTAAACGCTTCAAACGAGGTATCCTTTGTTCGTGTTTTTAAAGATGTCGAAGTTGTCTTTGCATCTTGTGCAAGTCCTTATGTCAAGATTGAAAATCTTGGTGAAACTTCAAATACCGCCCCAACATCACTCAGATCGGATCCCTTCGTTGTCCGTACTCTGATTCACCTTGACTGCGAGAGATCCAACAAAGTAAAATTTAGCTGGAGGCTACTGTTGCTTGACGAAAACGGAGTTCAAAGCAAACACAAAGGAAATATTATTCTGAATGAAAGAGAACTAAACATTCCCAGGAAAACGTTGCAATACGGAGTGTATGAAGTTCAGTTCACAGCGCAAATGGCGATACCTGAAACAGACAAATTTCGCGGCACAACTATTGGTTACTTAAAAATTGTTCCATCGCCCCTCATAGCAAAGATTGACGGCGGTAATTTGATTAGTCGAGGATTTGGGAAAAAGGTAAAGATCGATGCATCACCATCGAAAGACCCGGATGTTGAAAATGTACAAGACTCAGGTAAGGGCAGCAACTTTTACCCATCCCAAGGGCTGGACCAAAATGGATTAACCCCGCCTCAAAACTGCTGAGCAAACCGATACAAATTCCCTAGAGAAGAAATTTTATCGTACGTTGGCCTGATCTAGGCTTGAACTTCCCTTGCCAATTACACTACTGGAGGAAAAGTTGTTAATTGTTCTGTAGCATGACTATTGTTGCGGATTTTGCGAATAGCCCTTGATCGGCAAAAATTAGTTTTATGCAAAATAAAACGCCGAAAAAAATTAACTATCTGCTGCAACGTTCTTAAATCGAGGTCTTGAATGATTCTTTATGTACATTCCTTGTAATAAGGACCATTTATCTGTAATAAGGATCATTGCTCCTTCAGTTTGCATGTTGTGTGCCCTTGTCTAACAAACTAACCCTTTGGCAGGCTTGAGTTACACGTGGCTATGCAGGAGCATTTACACGCAGTTCCCACAAAATCTTTATTCAAATTTAAATCTGCGCACCCCATACGACACCACCGGTCAAACGTCAACACCTGGGAAAATGTACTCAAAGGGTTGCTATGGAGATGGAGAGTTTGTTTTGGCTGGCAGGGATAGTTGGCTGACTCTGGACACGTCGCAGATGATGGAAGATGAAACATACGTGGTGTTTGTGGTCATAAGGAAAGGAGGAAGGACAGCCCATCAGTACCAAGTGGTGGAAGTCATCCAAGGAGATCCTCCTGTGTCAAAATTAGAGTAAGTGAAATCATATTGTTTGACTCTAACGTTTCCCAAACATTTCTACATAACGTGGTTTAAAAGTAGTGGCCACTCTGCAATTGGTATCTTTTTCATGCACGAAACCTTAAGTTAAGAAGGTCCTAAACCGGATGAAGATCACAAACGAGACCCGCTAGGTTGGTAAACACTTCAGGTATGAGTCTTTTCACAAGACTTATGGACCCCTGCTAAGGTTACCAGGTAGCATGGAGACTCCAAATATAATTCAATTAAACCAGTGGTAGCGTTATAGGTTAACGACAATTATTTCGTCTCAGTAGACAAGCATGACTATTTGGAATAACATGAGTAGCGCTGACAAATGTTCCCTTGAATCATTACTTCATCCAACTGAGTGCTGCGTGACCACATTTTAGAAGTATTTTTATCCCTTTGGTCAATTTAACAACTGAAATATTGTTTTTCAACAGGTGTAAGCAGAACTGTGGAGAGAAAATCTGTCCGTCCAAACGATTTTCCCTGGTTGGCACCTGTTTTGAGGGTTGTATTGGACGCCTGATCTACGAATGGCGAGTCTACAAAAACGTTGGCAACGACTCCATCAAGTCCTGGGAACTGCAACAAGATATCGCGCAAAGCTTGGCCGAGGTGAAGGATACCACAGGTCCCATTTTCACGCTGCCTAAAGACATGCTCCATGGGGGCAGCGAGTACCTCATTCGCCTTTACGGCCGCCGTGCGAGGGGAGTCAACGGCAAGACAGAGAGTGTGTACGTAACGAATGAAGTTCCTCAGGGAGGGGCCTGTTTTGGTTGGCCTCCGAGCGGTGATGCACTGGTAACGAATTTCCATATTTGGTGCGAAGGCTGGAAAGATCCCGACATGCCCCTGAGCTATCAATTTTATTACAAAAATGACGAAGGAAAACTAGTTCTGTTTTACTTTGGTCATAATAATTTTACATATTCTGAACTACCTCTTGGAAATCCCACGCAGAATTACACGCTGGAAATAATCGCCAAAGTGTTAGACTTCTACAAAGGAGAGGCCAAATATTCTCTTTTTTTGCAGGCAAGAATTTAATATGACTATTATCAGTTACTTTGTCACGTTAATGTCATGTGTCCTTTCAAAGGCTTTGTTTTTGTGTACCAGTCTTTCTCGTATTTTCGACCACTGTTTCTAATTCTGGAGGTCCACAATAATTATCATCCTTCTCCATCCTGGTTACAACTGATTCAGGAATGATGCTTATAATAGTTATACTAAATACCATAATAATACACTCTGAAGAGGATTTTCTTCTGCTGTGTATTAATCGAGAGGTTTTTCTTCAGTCTGTAGAACCCAAGATAGAAGGAGACCAACTTGATAATATGCTTGCTAACATGACATCAGGTGAAAACAGTCAGTTAAGCAACCTGGTGAACGTAGGTGATAGCCAAGCCGCTCTAAGGATGGTTGGAGCCATCAATTCACTTCTGAACGCGCAGAGCACAAAAACACCATCCGGTAATGACAGCGAAAGAGAGGGTGCCAGGAAAGAAAAGAGAAAAGAGGTAAACTGTTTAAAGATGATAAAATTTGTCGCGCGTCTGGTACAAAGAAAAATCCGTGTACCCCTAAATTGCACTGCGATCGGATACTGTACCAGTGAGCAACAGAGAACTTGTTGGCGAGGAAAGTTTTTACGAGGTTAAAATGTAAAAGGTCGAAGGTAAATATTTATTTTATATCAAGACATAGAAGACAACCCAGAGGACTCGATATTTGAAACATCTGTATCGGACTGACTCGGGCTCGTAGGGCTTAGTGATTGGTTGATGTAAATATGTAAATATACCTAAAATGTCCAGCATATACCTGTTCAATAGCTGACAAGTTTAAAATGGGCTAAATGTTGTAATATTCGCTGGCAACATCAATGATGGTTTGAGAATGAGCTGTATCACCTACTCGTGTAGCTAATAAAACGGTTGTATAGACTAGAGTTTTATCTAAATTAATGCGAGCACCATGAGGGTTAGGGTAAGCTGAATCACGACATCACCCGCGACGAATCTAAGAATCTTTTTCGAAGGACCGAAAAGAGCAAGTGAATAGCGGAACAATCTTATCAAAAAAGAGAGCGTCGCATTTTTTATGGCGAAAGCGAGAAAATACAGCTTAGGATAGTTTATTCCTGTCCAATTTGTTTGTGTTTAAACTAGAGAACGACCTTATCATGAACATTTGAGTAAGGAGCTGATTCACTCAATGTTGAATTGTCAGGTTCGGACATCAGTAATCAAAGCGGCGGCGTCCCTTCCTGTGACGTCATTAGAGGGCCTGCAACAGTCCGCTGACACGATAGCTAGTGCCTCCATGTTCACCGATGAAACATCAACAACAGCTATGGTATACTGCTACCTTGAGATCTTATTCATTGATTTAGAAAAGAATTCTTAATGTGTATCTTTAAACTAACCACTAAAAGAAATGTATTTGAGCTGTTCGGAATGCACGAAATTCAAAACTTGTTAAGAGTAAACTGTACGAGGTTAAAAGTCAAAAGTAGACCATTAAGCAAAGAGACCTCAAATCAAAAGTCACGTCCGTTTAAGTTTTACGTCTGAATGGCTAAGATGAGGGCGAGAGGCTTTCTGTAAAATTACTCAGAGGAAATATTTTAGCAATTATTAAACATTCCAGGATTATTATCCAGTGGTATCCATTTCCGGACGATATGCAATACTGTAGAACGATTTAGGCTTATCGGGTGTGTCTTAAACAGCTTTTTTTTGTGTCTTAAACAGCTTTTTTTTGTATTCTGTTGCTTTTTTCTGCGATCGTCAAATGAAGAGTCTAATACTTTAACCTAATGTTATCTCAAACAAATCGAAAGATATTTCAACAATTTACGACATTTTATGAATTACGTTGAGTCGTGCAAAACAAACCATAACCTAGTCATACGTACACGAAAAATTTGCGTGGAATGGCTCGTTACCCAAATGTGTTTTTTACTTTACTTCATAGAATGCTTCAACAGAAGCTTTTGAGAGAATGTCGGCCCTGTTAAAGAGTAGTTCCGATGACTTTGCTGGTTACGACGCAGTAGTTAGCAGCGCCGAGTCCCTCTTGTCTGGAATGGGACAAGTTCTTAATGCCGCTGGGAGCTCCGTAGCTATTAAGCCCAAAAAGATGAATGCTACGAAAGCCCCTCCAACGTGTGGGCCTTACGATTTTGACTGTAGAGAAGTAGATGATGAATTCTCTGGAAATTCTACGGATGAAGAAGATGTAGAACTTGACGAAGAATCTGCCAAGGTTAGTTTTATACATCAGATATGCAAAATTGTTTTGGGCAGAGTTGGTCGCACATTGTGATCTTACGGGTTAGGAACATACTGGAAATACTGAGGAACTCGTGAAAAAATCCACAGAACACTCCAATACGAAGCTTCACTTAATGTTTTTAACACGATCACACAACTTGCAGTTCCCAAGACGAGCAATTTGAAAACATTTCTTCTCTCTGTCTGACACAGAGCCGAGATGCAGCTAACGCTATCGTGGGAATGCTTGGAACAGTTAGCGGCTCTGTCCTGGAGAACAAACTCCCAGGTGAACAACCAAGTGTTATTTCAACTGCTAAGCTCAACATGGCGGTAGAAAGGGCTGACCCAGACTCCCCGAACGGATCTTCTATCGGTGACGGAGCATCAGGCTTCAAGATGCCTCCTTTAGGAAAGCTGTTTGGCAAAGCAGGCTCAGACCTTGATGGCCCTGTAGACAAAGAGGTAGGTTTTTGTTACATCAAGAGGAGATCAAAATAGGAGACTGAGTTTTCAAATTAGGCCTTTTTCCTGATGTAATCCTTGTTAGTACCTACAAAATGTTGAAGGTTATAATTTATGGGATTCCTGTGGTTTTGCTCTACAATGCTCTATGATTGGTTTGAAAACTCCACCAGTCTCTGAACTAATCAGAGTCTAAAGTAAAACCAGTCCGCACAACTTGGTCTCTTTCGTTTTCCCGTTTCCTTGGTAGTTTGCCTTTTTTTTTTCTTTCAGGTCTAATTTGCTAATGATGATAGTAACCCTTATTTTCATTGACCATTGAGATAAATTTGGTTTTTGGTTCTTCGGATCTCCATTAGACACTGCTTTGAGATCATTTCAGTTAACGAAGATTCTGGGTAAATGTTAAAAAAGGGCGAGCACTATTTCACTACTTTGCCAAATCTTCTGGAGATGGGGGGGGGGGGAGGGTTAGGGTTATGCGACTAAGTGTCATACGTAGAAATGGCGTATGTTCATAAACAAGGTTAGTGACCCCTATGCATTATTTGCTTATGTGTAGATGGCTGCTGTTAACGAGAACCCATACACTTGGGACAAAGGATCTTCGAGTATCACCGGAAAGGTCGTCAGTCTTTCTTTTAATAGCAAAGGTAAAAAGCTAAGTGTCTCCAACCTGGACGAAGATGACCCAATAGACGTTTTTATTCCAAGAGATTCTCCCGTCAGTCCTCCGGAAAAATTTATTTACAACTGTTCTGTGCACCGAGGAAGGCGTACACATAAGCTGTTGGTTGACAAAAATGGCACTGCCGTCAATGTAGAGGTTCGTTTAGTCGGCTCAAGTCGGCAGTTTGTGGTTTATGTCAGGCGCGGGAAAGCCCCGACAACTACAGAGTTCGACTGGAGAGCAGTTTCTCCCAACATAACCGAAGAAGAACGATTGAGTCCTAATGTTACCGATGAAAGTACAAACTCTACAGACCAAGATCCTACCTCTTTCAGTACATCATTAAATTCAACTTTAAATGAGACAAACACTCTACAAATAAATCTCACTAAACTGGAACACGCCAGAGATAATCTTCACGACTCCAATGTTACATTATTTCTATCTCAAAAGAGACTTTACATGGGTACATATTTCGTTAGCATCTATTTTTCGCCACCGTCTCCGTTGAATGGACAACACGACCCAGCTGAATGCAAAGGCAATGATTTAAGCATTACTTACACGCTGAGAACGTTTAAATCCAAATGTTTATATTGGAACGAGGAATTTCAAAAGTGGAAGAGCGATGGCTGTGAGGTAATATGAATTTAGTGGATGTGAATTTTGATATAGGGTACTGTAGGGGAAGTAAGATAACAAAAATGGAGCACATTGAAGATAAAATTCGCTACACCACGTTCCTAATTTGGACCTAAAGTATCTTCAATTGAGCTCTGATAATAATTCGAGAATCACTTTGATAAAAGGGTATGAAAAGAATGACGGAGGTACATCTGATTGTACGTCAAGTGGCAGTGTGTGTTTGTTTTTTTCTTTGTTTGTTTTTTTTAGCGAGAGCTCCTCATGAGCACATTAATTAGGGAGCTATCCATTTCTTAACCTAGAATTAAAAAGTCAGTTTTAATTAAAATCTTCTCCCTCTATTTGAACCCAGAGATATGATAAATAACTTTCTAGCCTCCTTTTTCTTGTTTCGCACTATAAGCTACGGAACCTCGCTTTGAAAGCCCGCGCACCTCGCCACAAATAAGAGCTGAAAAAAGTCAGTTCGTAATTTAAAGTACGGACCTCGAACTCGGTTAGTATTAACGAGGTATATATATTTTTAGTTAATGTAATTTATCTTCAGATTTCACTGCTAAATTCAAATGACATTTTTTATGTGTTTTTTAGGTTGGTAACTTGACAAGTGTCACACGCACCCATTGCCGTTGCACACATTTGACAGCATTTGGTTCAATGATGGACGTCGCCCCAAATCCAATTGATTACAGCGCCGTATTGGCTGGATTCAGTTCAATGTTCGAAACAGGGAACGTAGTAGTGTTTTTCTTTATCATCGTCATGTTTCTCCTGTATGCTCTTGCGTTGGTGTGGGCCAGGAGAGCCGACAAGAGGGACATGGAACAGGTACTGCGGGTTTGATAAGTCAATTATTGTTACACAGTCGAGGAAATAAATCATACGCACTTGAGAGTTCATACCATCACAATAAGCTTTTAAATTAACCAACAACACAGTAATAGTTTGAAACAATTTTCAAGCAATTCGAATGAAGACGAGTGAGAAAGTCATGGCCAAAAAGACGTTGACCAGCCATTTGACAGTAATGTGGCACTTTGTGCAACCACCAACGACACTTCACTCTGGGGTTGAGTTTCACTCAGCTTTTGGAAACGTCAGTCTTTATCATCTTTGGTAGTCTTTTTCAGAACTAATCTCACTCAGACGATGCAACGATCTGCAGAAATCAAATGATTTTCCAAATGCCTCGAGATCCAATTATCTAATCGAGTATATAGATAGCTTATAGACAGTTTTGTGTACAGCTATGTTGTCTAGTGCTATATTCTATGGGCAAAATGTATCTGTGGACAATGGCGGCAGCTTAATCCTGGGGCCCATTGAGGTGAACTTAGTATCGATTATGATTGGTATACAGTGTAGCCTCGTTACCATTCCAGTTAATGTTGTTATAGTTACCATTTTTAAGAGTGTGAAACCCAAAGGAACTGACAAGACTGGTGAGGAAACAGAGAGGGACAGTCCTCATTAGACGTATCGCCATCCCGCCTACTTGTTAACTTGTTCATTAAATACCAATAGGTTTGGAACTTGGTTAAAAAGGTAAATCTGTTTCATTTTTGTCATTAGGTTGGGGCAACGCCTATTCCCAGCAACGTATATAATGCCACATATCATTATGAGCTTACGTTTTTCACTGGTCAGCGGGGTGGTGCAGGTACAACAGCCCAGGTGTCGTGTTTGTTGTATGGCGAGGGTGGAGATAGTGGAATCTGCATTCTGAAGGACGAAAATCGTCCTACTTTCCAAAAAGGTAGCGCCAACTCATTTGTAATCTCTGTTGCAAAGTCTTTGGGTCCAATAACGTTCTTGAGAGTGTGGCACGACAATCACGGGTTATCACCTGCCTGGTTTTTGAAACGGGTCCTGGTGCGAGACATCCAATCAGGAGCGATAACGATATTGATCTGTGAACGATGGTTCGCGCTGGATGAGGATGACGGCGAGATCACGCGCGACTTAACTCCCGCAGGGGAAAAAGATCTCACTTCGTTTTCAAGACTTTTTAATAGTAAACTATACAAAGACTTCACGGATGCTCATTTGTGGTTCTCTGTCATTCTGAAGCCATCTAGGAGTAAGTTCACACGATCTCAGCGCGCGTCGTGTTGTCTTTGCCTTCTGTGTACAGCTATGGTGTCTAGTGCTATGTTCTATGGGCAAAATGTATCCGGGGATAATGGTGGCAGCCTAGTCCTGGGACCTATTGAGGTGAACTTAGTATCGATTATGATTGGTATACAGTGCAGCCTCGTTATCGTTCCAGTTAATGTTGCTATAGTTACCATTTTTAAGAGTGTGAAACCCAAAGGAACTGAAAAGACTGGTGAGGAAACGGAGGAACAGTCCTCATCCTCATCAGATGAAACAATTTGTGTCTCAGAAGTAGAAATTTCCGACATAGACGAAACAAAGACAGGAATTGAAAAGGAAACTCCACCGAATAAAGAAATTCATCTGAATGGTATTGATTCCTCTGAAGATGGTTATGGCAGTGCTGATAATGAAGACCTCGTAGTAGTAAATAAAGCAGAGAAAACTTCAAGCGGTAAAATGGATTTCTTTCGACACAGACGAGATGGAGGGCACAAATATGTTGTCCAAACAAACAGCCTTGACTCACAAAGGTAAGTTAGAAACATTTCCCGGACGTCACACGCTAAATGTCAGCCCAGGTGAGTATCTAGAGGGAAGGGGAGGGTATAGAAATGGTAGTTGCTCTAGCTGACGCTCTTCATTATCGTGTTTAGCTCTAAGCCCTTTCGCATTCTGACCCAGTTGAAACTGATTTTGCTCGATAGGCCAAAAATTAGGGAAACCCGATCTTGCTGTGAATAGTTTGCAGAGAGGGAACAGTAGATGGTTCTCTTTTTGGAATTTCTTTCCTCGATAATTTAAACATCCAACGCATTATACACTTCAAACTGAAAGACATTTATGATTAATTTACAGCTCTGACTTTCTCGACGAAACGTCCGAAAACTCAGTAAATGAAAGAAAGGGCACAACAAAATGGTGGTGTTGCAGAAAACGAACCAAAGACATCGAAGACGGCGACAGTAAGGAAAAGAGTGAAGAACAGGAAGAGAAAAAGAAGAAAAAATCCGATGGCTTCCTTCCACATTGGTGTTTATATATAGCATGGACTCTGTGCATTATGGCGTCTTTTACATCAGCTTTGTATACCTTATTTTACAGCATGATGTGGGGACGGGATAAATCAAACCAGTGGTTTATTTCAATGATCCTGACGTTCGCTCAAGACACTCTCATTAACCAGCCAGCAAAGGTTTTGTTCTTGTCAATGGTCTATGCCATCTTCATAAGGAAGAGTGACGAGGAAACAGATGCCGAACAAGGAGTTGAAGACCCGCGAAAAGGTAATACTTTTGAATACTGAACGTTTCTGAAGAAGTATACTTTTAAGCTGCGTTTATAAGTGCTACCAAGTTTTCCTCGGCGAGTGCTCTTGTTAAGAAAACCTTGTTCGCTATATTTCGTTACAAAGAAAAAATGATTGAGTAAAAACTGTCGGCGACCTATACTTGTAAAGTTTGTTCTTAACTGATTTTTCCCCTTAGAAGTTTCTTTGTTCAATGATACTTTATGTAGGCAAGAAGAAATATCAGGGAAAATCTCAATAAATTTTTTTATCCAACGGCAAGAAAAACTTAGGGAAAACTTTCCATTGTAGATGCGACTCTCATGTCTTGTTTACTGAGATAAACCATCGAATTTAAGGTGTCACATTGGAGAAGTCGCCACTAAGCAACATTAAGCATGGTGAAACAATAGAAACCTTCCAATCTAGCCGGGGAAAGTACGCAATTAAAAGCTTCGTAACAATGTAACTGGCACCACAGAGTGTTAAAAAACGCTTCAGATTCAAGATTGAACTCGGTTGGGATTCTGACAAGTCAAAGGAAATGTCCTGAAACATTTAACGGAAAACAATTGATCGGTTTGGATAGGCCATTGTTACGCGACATAAGGGCCAGAGAGAAAGGTTACCAACCATTGTTTGGAATCAGGAGCCTTAGAACATAATTATTTCACCGCTTTAAAGAAGCATTAATTTTTTTATGTCCTGCCACCTTGACTAATGGGTTGCCTACTGTCTTGGTAACAGATGATGACATGCCAGAAACACTCTGCAAGTACAGATTCGAGTTACAAAGAGAGAGGGAGTGGGAAAACTGCAGCCTTTTTCATTCTTAATTTATTGTGATAAGCTTGATCTGCAGTAGAAAATGCCTTAGTACTGACTGAAAAATAATTCATTGAACGCATCTGCGATTTGTTGAAACACAGGGCAAGATGAAGAGTGGCTTCATGGCGACACTTTGGACAACGAAGACAGAGAAAAGGAACTGCTACGATACAAACCTCCTGACGAAAGCAAATTAAACGCCTTGCGAGAAACCAGGGTTAGAGAAAAGCAATTAAAAGACAAGTTTATCAAGCTGGGAGATTACACTTTCGTCGTTCTTGTCCTGGTATTGCTCAGTTATGGCAACAGGGACCCACAGTCGTTCATGATGAGAAACTCGATGGAAAAGGAATTTATACATCCTCTTACAGCATCTTACCCCCAAGGAATTACAGATGTAAGTCTTATTTAACAATTATAATCGACCACGGTCAAGTCTCTCCTAATTTTCTGTTGTCAGAATCAAATTTAGATTCTTAAATTTCTCATGTAGAAAGGGAGATGTGGGTCAGAGGCCGGACATAGAGGCAGCTTGACTGGCAATCGACAGAAATCAATGGCGCTCTTTCGCCGGGGCCTTTTGTTTGTGTGTAGACGCACGTAAAGGAGTGACTAACCAACTAACATTCCTGTGTGCGAAATGATCAATACGAAACACTGACCCCCTTATGACTTAAGTCATTCCTGTTCTTGTATTTACCAATTTCAACAAAAGTTTTTGAAAGCTTCCCTTATTTTACAAAGCCGGTTTGGCAACTTTTCTGCTCGCGAAATCCACCTTGTAATAGTAACTTCTTAGTAACCGAGAGTGAAGGAAAAACTTAAACTTAGGCTGCGACTGAGATTTTAGATTTAAGACTGGAGGGTCAGGTTGATAAGTTCAGTATTCATAACTGAAGAAGGGGTAATAGAGCAATTGGAGAAGGGAGAGCGGCTGGAAGAAACTGAAGAGATCTCTCCTTGACTTTTGGCTTCTCATCTCGTACTAGCCCTTCGTTTTCTAGTCACAAAAATCGAAATGACGTAAGGTTCGTGTTCGTCCTTAGGTGAACAATTTGCAGCTATTTATGACATGGACAGAGCAAAGCTTAATTCCTTATTTGTACGAACAAGACTGGTATAATGGAGAAAAGGTAACGAACAGAACCGGATACACTTCAGGAAGACAGTCCAGACGACTTGGACGGATTCGATTGCGTCAAGTTCGCGTCGAGAACGGTAAAGTTGGTAGCAATCTTATCTTTGTCTGCATGTGACTAGCCAGGAAGAAGACGCGGACGCGAAATAATTACAGAATTAAGTACCAAAGGAATCATAGATAATTTTTTAACTATCAAATTTGAAATTCTCTGTCAATTGAACACTTTAAAATCATACTCGGCAGATATAATGGAGGAGTCTAGGCGTTGCTCGTTGTGTCTGCTCGTTTACTAAACACTTTATCGTCCCGAATATCATATTTTTCCACCAGTAAAGCGAGTTTCAAGTTTTGTTTCACTTTGCAAGGTTTCACTTTTGTTCCAATAAGTAAGACTTGACAACCTTATTCGTTTCAGAAAGTATTTCAACGTTACTCAGTTGAATAACCGCACTAAAGATGTGAAGCAAACGGAATCCACTCCAATGTAGCATACATTTGCATTTGTGTTACTATTTTCTGCTTCTCGTGTGAAACACCTCTATATCACTAATCATCTTAGGAATGGTTAATCATGTCACCTTCCATATAAAATGCAGGTAGCTGTTCTGTGACAAAAGTGCTGAGAGAAGTTATCCACGAGTGCAATCCTCCTTTTGATGAAAAGCATGAAGATACCCGGATGTTCAGCCCCGAATGGCGCGCTGGATATCAACCGGCAGAGGACACTCCGCTGTACAAAAGAAGTGCATCGGGGCAACTTTCTCCATGGGCTTACTTGGACCCCACGGAATCAAATTCTTCATTCACATTTTACGGTAGAATCGCGTTTTACCCTGGTGGTGGTTACGTGGCGGAGTTTGGCGATTCCTTGGAGGAAACAGCCGCCTTCGTGAAGTATCTCAAGTCGACCCATTGGATTGACAAGTACACCAGAGCTGTCTTTATCGAAGGAGCAATATACAACCCTAACACGAACCTCATTGGAGTCATAGAGACTGGTGTGGAAGTAACGTCTGGAAATGCTTTTTTACCGCGAGTTGATTTTAAAATCTTCAGACTATTTGCCCGGTTGGATCCTTCGTACGCCTTTAACTCAGCTTGTGAGTTGTTGTTCTTCGTGATTATCCTTTACACTCTGTACACGATTATCAAAGGTATTTATCAGCGGAGGAAGGAGTACTTCTATGAAACAGTAAGTCAGCTGGACATTATCCTCTTTGTGGATGGTGTTGCTATCGTAGTTGTGTATGTTGTTCGAGAGAGCAAACTCAAAAGTGCCGTGGCTACCCTTAAAAGTGATCAAGAATGGTTCATGGACTTCTCCCAGTGTGCCTCTTACAACGAGACACTTGTTATCTTGTACGCGTTTGCAGACTTTGTCGCCATATTAAAGTTCATCCATTTCTTAAGCTTCACGCGCGTCGTTCAACTTTTATCAACCACTATCGCAAAATCTGTAGTTGAGCTACAGTCCTTCGCCGTCATGCTGTTTGCCATATACATGGCGTACTCTTCAATGGCATTCACAGTCTTCGCGCCTTACGTGGAAGACTACAGGTCTTTCTCTGCAACCCTTGCCTCTTTGTCATGTCTTGTGATGGGAGTTTTTGATCATACTGATTTTACTTCCCAGTCTGATTACAAAACTGTGGGTTATTTTTTCTTCACGACTTTTTCTGCCAGCATGATATTTATATTTACAAACGTTGTTATAACGATCATCAGCGTTGTGCACCAAGATGTCTGCACCGACGAGGAGCTTAAGAAAAACCAAGATTCTTTTTTTAACATTATTTTGGACAGAGTACTGATTTTCACCGGGCTCAAAGGACCACCAGTCCGAGAGGAACCAGAAATTGAAGAACCTTCTATATCCGAAATACAATGGAATTCAAATGTAAACTATATAGAGAAAAGTCAATTGAAGCGGTTCAAAGGATTGATAAAATCTATTTATGATTACGATGAAATAGAGAACATATCACTGATCAGGGCGTATACGTGCACGTGGGAAAGAAAAACGATACGTGATTCTGGTTACCAAGGAGACACATCAAGATCAAATGCTGCTGACCAAAGCAACAATGACGAGCACGGGTGCACAAATGATACGAAAAGTCTAGATCAAGGAGAGTCTGTTGCGAAAGATGAGCAACAATTGGAAAGTCCATCATCTCAAGAAAAAAATAGTCCAGCCGAAACTTTGACTAAGTTGATCGCCAAAAAAACTGAAGAACTGAGAAGACTGGAGGAGCAAGGAGTTTGTGATGAAAAAGAGAGATTACGTTGCGTTAGAGTGATTGAGTGCTTTCAGGACTTGTTGAAGAAATCCGTGGGAGACGAGGACTCTGCTAAATTGTTTTTAAGCCATGAAGAGGAATTTGAAGTCTAATTAGGAAAAAAATACAGAGTAGAAAATCCAAAACCCAGTAAAATGTATAACAAACTTTGTATTCACGTACTAAAATCTTAACTGATGACTATTTAAGGTTGTGCAAACTCACATTCAGTCATGAACTTCCTTAGGTTACAATAGTAAGACAAAGTAAGGGCAGGGAGAACTTGTTCCATTTGTATTAAATTGATGGTGAGCTTAATATAATTTTAATTATTTATCTCTTAGTTAGTACGTGCGCTGTGAATGATCAATTTAGCGGGTCGTATTTCACTGTATAACCCGCCAAATTCCTGGAACGTTCGTTTGAATTGAAATCTACGCCCTCTATTTGAACCCAGAGATAAAATAACTATCTCTGTAAATAGAATAAGAGAGGTGGTAAGTTTTGAGGTTGGTAAAGAAGTAGAGAAAGGCGGTTTTCGTCTTGTTATCAGCATGGGTCAGAGAAAAACTTACGAGTCCCCACGAGGAATTGAACCTTAGACATTCGGATTCCGCGCCCTGATGCTCTACCACTGAGCCACAGAGACTCTATGGTAAACCACAGGCGGCCCAAGCTCCAGCTGTGAGATGATCATCTTGCGCAATAACAGTCATGGCGGAATTATAAGAGTTTGTATGGGAATATTTACGGCCGCCCTAGGGAATAAAATAACACGTCAAATTCTCAAAAAAAAAAATACCTCACCTTACTTCTACAACGTAACGCTTGTTATCTGACCGCTTACTTTGATGAAAAGGACGCATTTTAGTGAGTTGTCCATTTCGACGTTCAACAATTTGACAATTTGGGCCATTTTCTTGAAGCTGTTCAAGAATAGAAACAAGGAGACTCTCAGATGTCCCTTCAAATCACATTAAGTCGTTGCTTTACCCCTCCCCCCTCGTTCTTACCAATATACCCAACGATTCCTTCTCACAATTATTAAGCTAGGTTACCCATACAGTACTCCATTCCAAAGGATATTTAAACCACTTCTGTGAAAATTAACCATTGCTTTATCAATAAGGACATGTTTGCGAGTTAACCCTGGTCATCCATAACGCATTCATATCCACTCATTAAACACACCATTGTTACGTGCAAAAGAGAATTAACACTGTACGGCAAAAAAAACTAGACTAACTGGGTGACTGCCATTTTTACTTCGCGGAACCTAACTTCCTAAATTTGATTGGGAACTTCCTCATTTTAAAAGTTTTCGAAAACATCTTTCGACCATGCTTCTAGAATATACCTATGCAAATTATTGCCGCAGTTTTAAAGCAGCGCGCGCTTAATCAATTAAGAACACGAGTCAATTGTTACATCAAATTGCCAAATTTCTGCGTAGTGTTGACAACTTTCTTCAAGTACCTTTTTGGTTGCATGACGAAGAACATATAGACACTTCTGTAGCAGTAATCAATTGAAAATGGTCTCGACTGTGACTGAAAACAGGATGCAATCTTCGAGTGCTGTACCTGACGAAGACGAAAGCGCTGTCGACAAAATGAAAAGACAATTTCGCGAGCTCGAGAAACGTGCTAATAAATATTTTGATGACTTGGATAAGGTGGAGGAAATGTGCTGGAAGGCTAAGGAAGATATAAAACGATTTCAGTTGAAAGCTGAAGCGGACAAGCAGATGGTGAAAAGAGATCGTGATGTTCAATTCAAGATTTACTCTTCGCTTCAAGAGATGAGTCATAAGTTAAAGAGAATGGAAATCAAAGAGAAGCCAAACACGGAAGAGGAAAAGTTGCCTGTCATGTCTGAAGAGGCAAGGAGAGCTTCACAATCTACAATAACTGGTCGAGTTTGTCACTATGTCAAGATTGGCTGTTTGTTGGTGGTGGATGCACTGGCTGCGTATGGAATGTTTAAATTGACGCAGCCAGTTTTCTTTGGATAAAAAAAAACAAAAAAAAAAAAAAAACAAAAAAAAACAAAAAAAAACTTAAAGCAAAAAAAAACCAGAAAACAACAAAAAAAGGAAAAAAAACATGGCGCGTTCTTCCATCCAAGCCCTGGCGAAAGGTATGACGTTATAATAATGTTCACTTCGCAAGTTATTCTTATAATTTCAAGACATTGTCAAACAGAGAGGCAATGAAAAGTTAAAAATCATCAACCCGCGACCATCAAGTTTAGGCATCAACCTTGATTTTCCTCCCAAAATGTATCTGGCACCATCATCAGTAGTTGCTAGACTTGACTTTCAAATCTTGGTGGTGAAAGCTCTCGACTCAGAAAATCTCCTGTTTTTCTTTTATGCCAGTATTGCTTTGAATGAGAGTAGGCGAGCCCCCGATCGTAAGCACCGAATCAAAACTGCAGGAGAGTAAAAGAGAATAGATGTGTTGTTTTGCACGTTATTGCAGCCCTATGAAATTACTGCAGCATTATGGGAGACTAAGCATGCGCATGTCGAATTACACCTCAGCTGAACGAAATTCAAAATGGCGTAGTAAATCGATAAGGCAACTACTACAAAATGTTTCATAAAATAAGATCTTTCATCCATGAGGCAGTTGAAGCTGTAAGTCTGTGATTTTAATGATTGTAGAATTGCTCTTGTGGTACGAATTTGTGGACCCATCTGTTGTCTTGCACAGCTAGACAAGAAATTTTGAGCAATTTTCGGAGCTTGTAAACATCTTATATATTCACGTTTAAATTAAAATCTCACCATATTACTGGTAATTTTTAGCTCGCTCCTGACGTTCCTCCTCAAGAAACCTTTGTTTTCCACTGGAAGGCCATCACAAATTATTTCATAGAAGCCACAGGTAAGCCACGAAATCAATGTTTATGTTTACATGGTATACAATCCAACGTGCATATTTTAAAGATTATTACTTTTGTTTGCTTCCATGTATGCGTTTGATTAATTATCAAACGTTTCCTTTTTCATGATTGGCAGATGAGAAGGTTCCAGTGCAATCCACAAATATTCCATATCATTTGGAACAAATGTTAGATATTCTTAAGCATGAGGAAGATGACCCGTCCAGTGGAGGAACTACGGTAAATTTTAGACCAGAAATTTAATGAATTAATCTTCAGGCTAATTTTTTTTCATTAAAACGGATGCCTTAAAAATTCCAATCAATCTTTCCAGTGATTATTGTCATCCCTTTCCCAATTACTGAAGCCAACAAATTATGGTTTCCCTGTAGGAAAACTGTAGATACTCTGCATTACCATGGACTCAGAATTATGGGGATATGCTCATCATGACCCAAAATTTTAGTTCCTCTTTTCACCAATTTCCACCTAATTATTTTCTGATCTTAAAGTTCTGGACTACTTTACACATACAAAAAGATATGTTGTTAGTTATAGTATTGCTTTCTGTTTTATTAGTACACAAAACATTTCTTAACACCACAACGGACAGAGGCTTGTTTTGGGACAAGGCAGTTTATTAAATGTATATATCCTGTGTAATATATCCAAGTATATCAAAGGTATTCAGTGGATATACCCTCCAGTATTCAGAAATAAATTACAAACACTATTGAAATCAAGAGATGATCAAAACTGCCTATAGTGAAGTCAAACTAAAACTCCCTTAGAAGCTATAAATAAACTTGTTGCTTGCTTGTTTGATTGCTGATAACACGTGCTAAAATAATTTAGAAGCAATATTTTTAAAATTATTTTGAAATTAAAATATGGTGGTGTGGTACAAGTCTTATGACTTGCATTATTCTGAACAAATTGCTCAATCTAGGAAAGGACTAATATGTAGACTGCCAGTACCCAGTTTAGGCCTCTCAGTCATCAATATCTTAATTCATTTGAATAAGATTAATATTCACTTGAAATGGACAGAGACACACTCAAACCCAGCTTTGACAATGGTGTTAGTGCAAGGGAAATGTTTACACTTTGGTTCAGATGGGCTCTGTTAGGTTCTTGAGGTTCTGGTGTAAAAGTTTTTTGCAGGGGAATTGAGTACAGCTGTGCAGTGTATATGTATTTTCTTGGACTCTGTCTCATGCAATTTTGTTCTTTTTTGCATTGATTTATCTTGAGTTTGAGTCAGTGATGGGCCATAGGTTTCAATGTATTCTTTTCTGGCAAGTAGTTTTCTTCTTCATTTCTTTGTGACATTTTTACTTTTTTTCCTCTTTAAGGGTCCTTGTCTGGAATATCTTTTGCAGCATAAAATATTGGACACTCTCCACACTCTTGGCAGAGCAGATGTAGGTATCTTATGACATTTCCTTGAGGTAATCTGAGAGAGAGACCTCAGTGATAACTCGTACAATGTATCTCTCACAAACAACTTATGTCAATCTTACCTCTTGGACATCTAAAATCACTAATCATATGGAATTGTTTAAATTTGAATCTTAAAGCCAATAAAATTATGACAAACTGGAAAATCAGTTTTTAAAAGCAAAGCTGAAAACATTCAACTGACCGATCACTTTTTATATGCAAAAAAGAAGTACGGGGCTTTTCACTTGTATAAAAAAATCATGATGGTATTTCTAGTAAGCCTTTTTTGGTAGGCTATAGAATCAACTCAATGCATGGAATCAGTGTAGCTTTGTGTTTCATTATTTTACACTTTATAGGATTAACAGAGCTGACTTATGCATTTTGTTGTCAGTTTGTTACATATTCTTTGGTAATTTCTACCTCCATATCAAATCTTCTGGGATCCTTCATGTTTTAGTGTCCTCCTGGGATGAAACAAAAAGTATTGCTGTTTTTTGCAAACCTGCTGGCCAAGATGAAACAACCTCTTCTACCACATATAAATGTTTATCGTCCAGTTCATGTAAGTTTGGTTTTCCCTTACAAGTTTTTGTCAAAATTAGTGACTGTCGATTTGTTAATGACAATTATTGTGTTGAGGAATTATCAGTTAGTGTTAGTAATACATTATTTTCCAATTTCTCTTTAGCATAGTGTTTTTTGAAAAAGATATGGATCTTGTATATACACTGTAATATAATATAAAGATCTCGTCTTTAGATTTTTCATCTTCATTATTTTCAATTCTATTTTTTCTTTTTGTAACTCAGAGACTAATCAGACTCTGCGGTGAGGTGAAAGCTGCTCCTTCTGAAAATGAAGAAATCCATTTCTTATGTGTTGTATGTGCAAAGTTACGACAAGATCCATACTTAGTGAACTTCTTTCTTGAGGTGAGCTGAATACAAACTCACTCCCTAATCCATATTTGTTATTACTAATGAAGGCAGGGTGCCAAAATTGACTTTAACCCTTTAACCAATAAGAGTGACTGGCTTCTCATTTTTCCTTACAGTATCAGCCTTGAGTAAAACATAAAAGTCATGAAGGAATAAAGGAATCACCAATCTTAAGAAAATCCTGATTGCCAAACAAATTCTCCTTGTTATTACCATAGGAAATGTAAAGAGAACAGTGTGGAGAATATGGATGATAATGTTAGGGTGAAAAGAGTCAAGAGGGAACACCTACATGTATATACACCTCATAATAAATATAGTTAATTTACTGCTTAACACATTGCATATGTCCAAGTCTTCATGTAAAGACAGATGAATTATCATGGTAGATTTTTAAAGTTGTCCATGTTTTTGAATTTGATAAATCTCTGAATTAAATTGCTCTCTCTTATCTGATAAAACTCTGGAGTTACATTTATGAGTCAGTATCTTTACCTCTACATAATAATTAACAATTGTAGTGAGATCTCAGTAAGTTCTTAATGCTGGCAAATTGCTTTAAATATTTTAAGTGTCTAAAGCTTGGTTTTACATGAAGTCATAAAAATTTTTCATTTGTATTATACAATGTATTCTTTGGCTGCTTCACTGAGCAGGCAAGATAAAAAAAATCTTGTTTTGTGGTACTTTTCAAATTATTTGGTGTAAACTTGTTTCTTATAATAAACCCTCCTTTTACTAAGCTTGATTGGTTGAGGTGGCCAGATAATGGCCATGCACAATTTTGCAAACCTAGCAAGTATCTAATAATCTTGAGCTCAAGCTTGTTCATTGACACATATTTCTAACTGTGTCATTGTGTAGCATTCTAAGGGTTTCTGGTACTTCTGATACTCAATGTTACACATGACACTCCACTTTTATCTACATGTTTAAGCAATAGGTGTATTTTTTGAACTGTATTTTCCTGTTCTCAGACAAACTCTACTCCTACACCTTTTTTGTCTTCCCATGCTGGTGAGCCGGTAGGAATGTCTTTCTCTTTATTCTCAGACACCAATCATCCATGGTATATCAGGTTTATCCTTCACCTCCTGGCATACATGCACAAATACTAACTGCTTGTTCTATCATTGTTCTATTATCTTAAATGCATAATTACATGTATGAGTATCACTGGTATATAAAGTAAATGATACATTTGCTTGTTATAAACTAATTTACCCATCTAACAAACTATTTGGGATAATCCCATGCATGAAACATGTGCTGAAGAATTAAAATGGAATTTTAGAAACTAAGAGTAACTTAGCATCCCATGTGAGGTAGCTAAAATTTTCAAATGACATTAAATACTTCTGTCACTATACAATTGTATCATAGCTTATGGATACAGTAACCCTCAGCTAATACCTTGTTAAAGATTAAACATAAAATGCATTATAATTTTTTGTATGTAAAGTGATTGTTTTACATCACATTTAACTCAGTGTTTGAGACACTTTCAAAATATTTGTGACCTTAAACAACAATTGCAACGTACATTGTTCTACAAGTCATACTGTAGGTCTCATGAAATCTGCAGTTTTCATTGTTATAATGAGTAAGGATGTGAGAAAAAGAAGGAGGTTTCTCAGCGCAAACTTGAGTTAAAGTTGAACCATATAAATACAAGCCTATTATTGATTCTTTCCAGGCACTAGCTTCTTCTCCAGCATCAACAGCAGACTTAGATTCCATGTCTGGTCCAGTGAAGGCCCAAGGACGTGATAAACCAGATTATACACTGGTTAATTCTCTACTTAACTTGTCAAAGAGTGAGGTAAACATCAAACTTTTGAACTTCTTTTTTTTTTTTTTAATTATTTTGAAATTACTTTGTATTCTCTTCTCTGATCCCCTTGTCAATCAGAAAAACTTGAATGAATAACTACATTGTTCTGGTAAAAAGACACAAATTCCTTGTATACAAATTTTTAATAAAGCTTTACACCAACTCTTCTGTACTTTGTTCAGTGCTCATCTTTTTTTCATAAGCTGTTTGCAGCACATTTTCATAACAAAATGTTACTACTGTTTGTTGCATTGCAGGATAGTAGAATAGCAGTGAAAGCTTGTGAGGGATTAATGCTGTGTGCCTCCCTTCCTGAGGATCATGCAGCTACTGTAATTATCCTGTACACTCCATTCTGTGAAGTTATGGTTAGTTCATAATAGACTTTTTTGCAATGTGTTATGCTATATTACATCTTTTGCTCTAACTTTGAGACTTTCACCAAATGTTAACATGATAATTATTTTCTAACCATTTCAGGCAGACAGACTAAAAGTATTATTTGATGCCTTGCCAAAAAATATAGAGCCACTGGATATTTCTGCTGTTGCTGCCAAATGGGGGTAGGTCTTTGACTTCAGTAGCTACACAAAATCTATGACTGTGACAGGGTTCCTAACTAGAACAGCTTGCATCATAATTATTAATAACATCTTTTATTTTTGGTCAGGCTTGACCATCAGAGTGATGACGAGGATGTTTCATCATTCCCTGGCAAGAGACGGTTGATCTCATTTTTTTCTTGGTTGGATTATGTGGATCAGCTTTCCAAAGAGGCACACAAGGTTTGTAAGCAAAATTGAGCACTTACAGTGATTTCTTTTAAATCATGAAAGCACAGTATTAAGTGCAAACAATGTCTCTTTCAAGGTAGGAAAAATAATATTTAATGCTGCTACAAAATCTGTGCATTGTTTTCTAAATTTTGTTTTTCTCTGATAGTGGTACTAATTAGCAAGTAGGATTATCAATTTTTCAAAATTTCTTTTGCCATAGTGTGTATTGATCAATAAGCTAAGAACAAGTAGCCCAGATTTATAAGATGGTGTTGAAAAATTGTTGTGTAGTTTTAAAGCTGACATTTTAGATCCATAGGCATGAGATCCTTGGATGATTCCTGATTTTTACACTGGAGATAATCAATGTTTGTTGTGAAATAATTTTAAAAAATCCATAATTTACATGGTGATCCATCATTGGCTAGGAAAGAGTTGATAACTCTCATGATTTGTACAGTATGGTACTAATGCATCTGTATTGTTACTGTTTTATAGCTTGTGGCCAAAGCTTTAGCAGTAGGTGTGAGAGAACGTTTTCTACAGACAGTTATTGAGCCAGGTCTCATTCAACAGTGAGTGTTGTTTCGCTCAATCCTTTTGTTCAAAATTTAAGGAAATTATTTTGATAATTATAGTTTCAAAAGTGTGTCAATTTTAAAGAAGCTACATAAATTAATGTGTATAGTGTTTGAATACTTATTTCAGTCACTACAACTGTATTAGACTGGGGTGTTGGAATTGAATCAAGTGAATGTATTTCAATGAGAAATTTTGCTACTATACTTTTACTAAGGTGGTATTAATAAAATTAGAAAGTCATGTTTAATACCTGTGTAAATATGTTTATAATAAGCTAAATCCAGCATGTGTATTATAATCATCGGGTCTTACTTCATACATGTACATCAGATGTGCATTGTAAAAACATATGGAGCAGGCTGTGCTAAATCTTTGTATTTTATTTCATTGTTAGATCAGAGCTTGGTATTATCACTACAACAGCTGTGTTGAGGAGATGTGTGAAAGCTCTCACTTCACCTCAACTCCTACGAGGTATCTCCTCATACTTGTACTTTGAGAATTATGGATGTTACCCTCCTAGCATTGGAAAAACTGATTGTTACAGACTGAGGAAGTTAAAGAAAAAGTGCTCCTCAAAATTTATTTTTTCTTCAATCCATTGTTTGTAAAACCTATAAAATGATTTTACTGTGTTATGAACTAATAAGGATAATTCTGTCTACTATAGACATAAACTTTAGGTAAGTACAGCTGTAGGTAGCCTAAGATAGGTGATCACTAAGGTAGTTTTGCCACATGAATTTGAATCAGTATTTGTCTATCTTTTTCAACAGAAATGTGTATATTTCTACTTGGAGAGGAAACAACACCAGAAACTGCATTTCAAGCTGGAGATCATAAATTACGGCAGACACTTATTGAAAGATGTGATCACTTATCTGATGAGGCATGTGGATAAGATGTTAAAGTCAACTTTCAAATTTTAATGTTTTTTGTTTGCCCTATGGGCTAGTTTATTTTGGTAACCCAGGGTATTGAAGCTGCCAACTCCTTCCTTGTTTCATTATCTATTTTCAGGTCAGTATAGAAACACTAAAATTGTTTGAGACATTACTCGACAAACCCTGTGATATGATTCTAGACAATCTTGTACTCCGAAACCTGAAAACCAGAAAGTATTATGCTGCGCCTACAGTTACCAATGGTGATACAACAATTCACACACCAGTGGTAGAGAGCCAAGCAGAAATTTCACCAGCTACAACTCCTGTTAAAAAACCTCCACCATCACCAACATCACCTTCCACCCCTCCACTCACTCCAGATGGGTTAGGACCAGGACAGATTGGTAATGATATTGACAGAGAAGAAGTGGAACAAGTTGTAAATAGGTACATTAAAAAAATCTATATGGCAATAGTATTTGTACAGTTTTTCACACCATATTTTTGTCTCTATTAATGGTTTCTGTAACAGTTTTATTTCCCTAGTTCCTGATGAAATAAAAACATCAGCACTAATTGGTGATGCAGGCTATGACACATACTTGAGAGATGCCCACAGACAGGTAAATAGTTGGAGTTACTTCAATTGCATTATGTTTCTTTTTAATTACTTATCTGGAGAATCCCTGTTTTTTTTTTCCTTAGTTTTCTTTTTCTTTTTCATAGTGTAATCAGCGTGCTTTACAGACAGGTGCATTTGGCTGGCCCTCAACTCCAGTGCCCCCTCATGGTAAATTGCTCAAGTTATCTCAACCTATACTGAGTTTGTGTGTTCATGAACATGTATATGTGATTATCTTTTATAAATCAAAGTGCAATGAACTTTTCTATCATGTACTAATTGAGATTTTATTTAAAGTTTTGACTTTTTTTTTCCAAGATGTGGAAGACAGCAGAGAGAACTTTTACGAAGGGGCATTCTTGAGTATGCTCTTCAAGAAACTACAGAGACTGTTAGATCAGGTATTTTATTAAATTATTTATATTAAGTACATCGAGGTGGTGAACAGAGCTTGAAGATAGTGATAGCCAGTGTGAAGCAGATGTACTTGAGTTCAACATTGGATGTAAGGTGAAGTGGGTTCATTGTGTAATAGAGGATTCGTACAGTGAGGAGGTATCAAGGATATCAGCCATCTCATCCCTCTATGCCAAGAAAAATTGATAAATATAAATCTATATTAATTAGTTGAACATCATGGCATGCCCCTAGATGCAAATGGTGACCCCCTACCTGACTACACATCCTGTGTTAGGAAGAAAAAAGAAGGACACTTCTAGGTTATAGCTTTTACAGTGATTGTAATGTGTAAGTTTGTGGCTACTTAAAATCTGTGTTTAGATTGTTATTTGGAAGTAGGTGTTTTGACAGATATAAAAATAACAGTTAGATTCCTTTTTTTGACAGCCATATGACGTGAACCTCCAGGTTACAAGTGTAATAGCATTGTTATCACAGTTCAATCATCCTCAACTACAAGAATTCCTACTGAATGCTTCCCTGCCTCTGTCACCAAACTGCCACTCTCTTCATTCAACTCTTCAAAATGTGAGTACTAGAAGGTATAATGTATATTTGAAACTTTATGATCAGTCAAATAATATTTGAACTTGATTTGTGTGTCTTGAAAGTCAGCAAAAAAGTGAGAAGTCTTTTTACCCTCTTGGTTTTCTTTACTTGTAATTTTTGGTTAATCTTGCCTCTATCTAGTTTGCTTTCATGATTTACTAAACATAACCTTTTCTAAATGTTCAGTTAACTTGAAAGTTTCATGTCTCATTGCAGAAGTTAAGAGGAAAAATTAAGCTGGTATGATTTTTTTTAAATATGAAATAATGTTTGTATTACTCAATCCATTTATTATTTGTAGGTTGTTCAAGATCTGAGAGGCAGAGTACAAAGACTACCCAACTTTCAGAGAAATGTTGTTGCTATCAGGAGACAACTGATGGGCCTTGCCACATCACCTGAGCATAAGAGGTACGCAGCCTATGCATTTTAACTCCTAAGAGTGACTGGGATCTAATCTCTCCTTACAGTATCACTGCTGAATCAAAAAGTAAGGTCAAGTCATGAGAATAAGGAAAATTATCAAAAACTTTAGAAGCTCTTGATTTTCAACCAAATTATCCTTGTCAGTAAAATAGGAAATTTATAAGAATATAGATATTGATGTGAATGTGTAAAGGGTTAACTTGTACAGAGTAGCAGTATGTTATACTGGCGGCCAAAATAACTTATTCTTTTATAAGCAGTAGAAAGTTATTTTCGTTTTAATCTTTAAAGAGCCAAGTGTTAGCTGTGACCATACTTGTAACAAAATCAAATACTACTTTTCATAATGCTCTATGATTATAGTGTAGTCTTTACTAATCATCTATGTCAACAAATTAATTTACGGAACCATTTGGGTTGATATTAGTTCAACAAACTACTGTTATCATTTTGTAGTCTCAGTGAAAGCAACCTCCTTGAAGCTGCAATAGTACTAGAGGAATTTTGCAAGGTGAGAACATGTAGAAGAGCATACATTTATTTAGCATTGTTTGTAATGTTTGGAAAGGCATGGGGACAAGAAAAAGTGGGTGCTTATTCTTAACATATATATGGCATGTTTCCAATGATTTTGTTCTTCCTTTTGTCCGATTTATGTGCAACAGTACAAAGTTAGTGAGGAATTTACCCTTAACCCTTCAATTCCCAGAAGTAGTCAGCATGTAACTTCTCCCTGTAATATCCATACATTATTCAGCAAACAGGTAATGAGAATACTCAAACTTATCAGGTAATAGTTATCCTGGTCTAACACTGAGTTCTCACAACTAACTTATGTAAGGAAATGTGTACCAGCTAGAGGGGAGAATTAACCATCAGATCTTGGGATTTAAAGGATTAAATACCCAAGATCCAGTTAGCAATTCTTCCTTCTAACTACCATTTATTGCTTTGTGAATTAGACAAACAAATGTGGTTTAATTTAACTAGAACATTTCATGTCAGTAGTAGATCACAGATGACCTTAAAATGTGGTGAAAACCCAAAAAATTGGCACAAGGTACAACCAAGTGTCTCACTGATGCAACCTTCCCTCCTTAGTTATGAATAAAATGAATACTGTCATGTTAATCTTCATATTAATAAAATAGTTCTACCTTTTGAAACAGGAATTAGCGGCAATTGCATTTGTTAAAGCAACAGAGAGGGTACAAGGCCGATGACAGGATGACTAGTTGATTGCATGAACACAGTAACTTGTGTATATCAATAAATATAGATCTAGATAATATATTTGTGGCTTTATTGTTTGGTTCCCTTTTAATGGAAAGATATGGGACCAACCCCATGAATTTGGGGATTTATAAAGTTACAGGATGTGTTCAGGGGGGGGGGGGTTTACTTTGTACTGGCTTTTTTTGCAAACTTAGGTAACCAAGAGAGGAATCACCTTGAATTTATTAGAGTCTACACATAATTTCAAATGAGTTGTATTCATTTCAGTAATAGTTACTGAAGTATGTTTGAAGTGTGTGTATACCCCAGGGCTGTTGGATTTAGTCTCTGCTGTTTCTGTGGGTGTGATCTTAACAGTAGTTGTAAAGGGATTATTTGTCTTATTCAAATTGATCATCAAACATTTATCATGTCTTTTTGGTGGTTGTCTATGCAACCTGCAGAGAGTGATAAATTAAGACACATTGTATATGCACCAAAATGATTAATTTTCAAGTCATTTAGAAGGTTCAAATTGGCTTGAAAAGAGATATTGAATTCCAGAAATGTTATACAACATCAAATTTTGTACATTGGTTTCAAATAGTGAAAATTATTTCTGTACTTGGTTGAAACATTCTTGTTGTGGGGATTAACCAGATACCAGTAATATATTTTGCATAATGTGGTGTAGGTGATCCATAATTACAAACAATGCGATGATTCCTTAACACTTGGATGAGGCTAAAAAGAAATAAAATGGTAGCTAATAGTAATTGGGAGTTGTCTACTTTACAAGGATTTTCTGGAAATGGAAAAAGATGATGGTAAATTTTAAGTTGTTGAGGAACTAAGTAGCAGTTTTCAAAGAATCCTCTCTTCAGTATACTTAGGAAGTCTAAAGGGAGATATAAATTATAATAACACTGCACACTTGTCATCAAACTTTATCCTACATTCTTAATTTTAAGTTTGGTTTTATTCTCTTAAAGGTGAAAAAGTTGAAATATTTAATAATAGTATTATTAAAAAGATTATCTTGCAACTATATTATGTACTTCAACTGTTGCAGATATTTGTAATAAAAATGTTTACCGGGAACAAGACAAACATGTGTGATGTCTTTTCTGTTTTGCAACACATTTTTAGCAAAAATGTATACTATTACAATTTCACATGCACAACTGTACATAGAAAAAGTATGCAAAACTCAAGATTCCAATCTCAAGGAAGTCTTTTGGTGTGTAAACTCATAAACTTTGGATTCATTTATTGATCTTGAATTTCTTTATTGAAAAGGTGTTCTAAAATCACACTTTGAGTAGTGGTAGAAACTTCCTGCTCTTCTTTGATTAGTCACTCTTCCTCCCCTTGAATAGATCAACTTTCTCCTTTTGGTAGTGAGAAGGCTTAAAATGATACACATTTTAAGATGAGGCACCTGCTTTGAATTTAGTTGTCTTCTGCCTCACAATGCACTACCAAACACATTGACCATGTGTGACAGCTCATTCCCTCATAATTTGCTTTTTATTTGAATCAGAGCACATCATTTTACCAATTTATGGTAGTTTTGAAACTTCCTCTAGTGAGTTTCTGGAACTGGTTGATAGGGAGTGAGATGTGTGAAATTATGTTGCCTAGTTGGTTATCCTTTGGATATTTTCTTACACTGGGCTTCCTAAATAGACAGCTTGTGAAGTGAAGAACTGTAGGAAATTTAATATTAATCAAATTTATTATGTGCCAAGGCAGGTGTAAAAGCCCTGAACAAAAATTTATCCCACAACTTCAGGTTCAAGGGTGAACTTGAGATGCTTATCCCCTCTCTTTACTTCAACCTCAAAGGTTTCTCCTCTGTTCACATGTCGGTACACTTCTTTATTGGACACTATTTTGTTGCCATTTATTTTTGTTATTATATCACCAGGTAGCACACCAGCCCTGAAAGAAATAATTAAAACCATCTTAAAATCATATGTATCTCAAGCATTAGTCTAAAATAAAATCTTTGCCTTCATCTCCAATTGTAGGTAAAAAAGTCTTCCTGGTTTATAATTGAATGGTTGAGAGAGAAAACCTATTCTTGAGTTTTATAATCCCAGAATAACAAGCACTACAACTAAGTGAAAGGTGAGTTGGAGCACAAGAAGTTCAAGCCATAGCACCTTTCCTAAAATGGCTTCCAAATTAAAGATGAATAATTTTTAAAATACATGATCTGGATATTGTGTTCTGACCAATGTGCCTCACTATATCAAATAAATTTGTGCTTCAAGTCCAACAAAGATGGTATAGTTCTCAAAACCCCTGACTGTATATCCACGGTTCCATAATTCCCCATTTATTGTATTCCTGCACTTTTGCAGCTATGAAGTCACTATTTCACAGCTGAAAAACAAAATCAGGGTGCTTATTCAGAAGCCAAGTTTCCTCAGCCACAATTTTTGGAGAAGGATTTAACCCAACAATTTTTTCAAAATCCTACCTATGTGCTGGTGATCCATAGTTAACTTGTGGAATAAACACTCCAGATTTCACTTTATTGAAACTTTGGTCCCTTCGCCGCAGTTGCTCCAGTATCTGTGGAGTCAGTGTCAACATGCTGACACCAATATACCAGCGTTCATATGGAGCCAGTTGTCTCTTCAAACTTTTGTTCTGTGTGAGTTTACCACTCTTAAATCTCTCTATTGCTTGTGATAGAAACTCTTTAGCAGTGTCAATAGGTATGGAAAATGAAATTCCACTCGCAAATCTTACAGTTATTGCATTGATCCCAATAACATGACCATCCTAAAACAAAACAAAAGTCTTGTCAGGAACTGGTATCTCAACTAACAGTAAAAAATTATGTAATAAATGCAGTGCCCATTCAATTTACCTACAATGTAAAACCATCAGGCATGCACACAAGGTAATAAGTTTGTTGAGGTGGTGAAAGGTGGTTGCAGTAATGAGTTTGTGGAAATGAAGGTTTGCACTCGGAAAATAAAGAAAGATTTGGTGTGCCATAGACAACTACAAAGTGATTGGGGACAAGGCTGTGTGTGTGTCTAAGAAGGAGGTGTAAGATAAACTGTAATCTCCTTAATAATAATATGAAGAGCCTTGTAGTGATGACGCTTGTAGTTTACATTTTAAAATTTTAATCTATCCTCTGTTTTAACTGAACTACATGTAGAGAGCAAAGGAAACGTTAGTGAAAAAGAACAGGTCTGCAGTTGGTTAGTATACATAAATGAACACAAAAAGGATTCAATAAAGGGTAGTAGCATAACCATTATAAAAGAGGTGGAATGGTAGAGTTTACCGACATGACTAAATGATATCATTCTACATAAAACAAAGAAAGACATGGCTTGAAATAGTAATTAACTTCCTTTTTAATAAATATGACCATTCATACAAAGCCAAGTAAAGATCTCTGATTTAAGGTATAAAACAGGGAACAGGGAATCTTATTGATATTATTGTTCATGATCTTAAGGATTCTTCCAAGATCATCAAACTCTTTTCTCTATGTCTTAATACTCACCAGATTAACCAGAGGTCCTCCTGAGTTTCCAACCTTAAGAAAGAAACAGATTCAACTTAAAATCAGCCCAATAATCAAAGTGTAAATAAAATTTGTATGGCTCCTCAAGGCTTCAAGCTCAACTTTTTTCAAAGTCACCATTTGACCACCTAAAATCCAAGAAAGGTTGCCACAGTGATTTAAGAGTAAAGTGATTACAAAAAGTTGAAAACAACATCATGTACTGTAAGTAAAAACTTCCATTTGCTGGAAATCAAATTACATTTATTGCTGCATCTGTCTGGATATATTCCATCTCTGGGTTTGGAAGTCCAATCTCTCCACCTGCACGATGCACTGTACTGACAATCCCAGCTGTTATAGTGTTACTGAGCTGGAGAGGGCTGCCCATAGCTACAACCCACTCTCCTGGTCTAATTGTAGATGATGAACCAAGGGTAAGTGTTGGGAATTTAATATTCTAGAATAAAGATGAGAGAGCCTGCATGAAGTGTTTAGCTTATTATTAAAATATTCTGGTAAACAAACCTTACATGTTTGTTTGTTTGTTATGTTATCACTCTGATTGGCTGAAAAAAAATGCAGTTTCCAGTTAACACAATGCAGAAGAGAGGTTATTCAGGCCAGAAAAGGGTAGTAAATATTCAGTTGGGGTCTCAACATAAAGAAAATTGTTGGTTTGATTGAACACAACTTTTGTGGCCAAGTAACACATATAGAAATTTGCAGGGTTAGAAATTATTATCTAAACATTATATCAGCCCACTTTGCCGCTGCATAATTTATTATGTTATCAACATGTAATCACAATTTTTCATGTGCAATTTGGAATTAATAAGCACTAATACACATTTTAAAAGACTGCTGGCCCTATCAACTCATGCAATTTTGTTTGTTATTGAGAAAATTTCTTGAGCTATTATCCACTAAAAGCAACGCAACCCTAAAAATGTAAATTTTTGATAAGTTTGTACCTTATCCGACTCTAGCTGCACGACTGCCAGGTCATTTTCAAAGTCAAGATCTACAACAATGCCACTAAATTCCCTTCCATCCTTTAGCTTCACAGTCACTTTTGCAGCGTTCTCTACGACGTGTGCATTTGTCAGAAGCATACCGTCCTCAGTTACTATAAACCCAGAACCCGAGCTAGTGGGACCTGTGTGTCCCATGAACCCGAATCCCGCGCGTCGTCCCGTGATTTCTATGTACACAACAGCGGGTGCAGCTTTTTCCACAGCGTCTGCAATAAAGTTGAACGTTGCAGATCGTGGGGGTGATCCAGAATCGGCTGAATTTACCCCATCCTGAAATTTTGTCTTTGCTGCAACCGTCAGGCTACGATTACCAGCCAGTTCATTCTCTCTGTGCTTGGATAACAGATATCCAAGGGAGAAACCAACAGCTAATGAACCCAATAAAGTCCAGGGAAATCGTTTACCCATTTCTTTTGTTTCTATACTAAATCTCCTACACAAAGGACGAATTTCTCTCTCTTTCCATCGATGTGAAGGCCACAACACTTCTCGACATTTAGGCCATCTTCTCCACATACCCTGAGCCGCCATTTTGATGAAGAGTATCAGGAACCACTCTTCCCCGGAACGATTGCGTCAAGGCGGGCCCTGGGAACTAAGGAAAAGTCTCACTAGTAGTTGCAATAGTAGATCTTTATTTAAACTCGGTTAAGAACCTTCAGTTATACTAATAGTATTTTAATTACAATCATCTCTAAAAATTTAAAATAATTATAAAAAATGATTTACAAGATTGCCGAGTGGGAATCGAATGTTTCAAGTGCGCGGTTGATTTCCTTCTTAAACTGCCCAATTGATCTAATCGCCCTAATATTCTCCGGAAGAGAATTCCACAGTAAGGCACCGCTATAGCCAAAGCTACGTTTCAAATAATCAGTGCGCGGCTTGGGTAAGTTTAACTTACGGAACGAATCACGTAAGTCATAGTCTGTGTGTTGCTCACTGAATAAATCATGCAAGTACACTGGGGCTAACTCGTTAAGGGATTTAAACATCATTATAGCTTTCTGCTTTCTTCTTCTTAATGATAGCTGGTCCCACTTCAAAGTTTCAAGAAGCAGGCTTGAGTTTACCTCACAGTTGGCTTGTAGAATAACCCTAGCTGCTCGGTTTTGCAATTTTTGTAGTTTCTCACATAGATAAGAACTCAATCCATCCCAAACGGGGGCACAATAATCGAAATGAGGTCGGATTAAAGCGTTATATATTTGTACTGCAGTGGACTGAGAAATGAGGGACCTAATGCGCCTCAGAGCACCTATTGCCGAGGATATCTTTCTGCATAGTTCTTTGATGTGATTAGAACATGAAAGTCGGTCATCAATAATTAAACCTAATGATTTGGCATGCTCAACCCTGCAAATTGGGTGGCCATCTAATTGGATATTAATCTCACTACAATTTTCTGCAAGGAACTTTTGACGAGTGGACCATCAATAGCATTTAAGTAACAAAGGGAATACATTACAAAATTGTCTCAAATACATCCACCATTGTATTTTCCCCCTTCACTTCTTCAGCGCATCTATTCGAAAATTGGCCGGAAACGGACGGAGTGCGCGGCACAGGCGCCTATCAGCGATTACTCACGGCAAACAAAAATAATAATTCAAGAGGACATGTGCCTACAAAATGTCTCTCATCTCTCTCGTGCTCATTCGGTCGGCGTGTATGTACTTGGGTGTTATTTATCCCTCACCGCCTTTCGCACTTTGTTTTTTTTCCTTTTTTGTATGGGATTTTAACGTCATCCTGGCTTCTGACACGATCTCGGCGATATATCCTGAAGGGGAAACCACAACTGAGCCACACCAGCGATGCAATTTCCTGTTAATTTTTTTTTTTAATTTGATTTATCCAATTTAAGTCTAAAATTGATTTTAAGTGTAGAAGCCACCAGATTAAAAAAGGCACATTCAAGTTTTAAGGGGAATAAAAATAAAAACGGAACACGGAAAGTGATAGACATGAAAAAGGGAACGGCGAAGTGAATGTACGTAACGGATTCAAAAGTCACCGCGAAAGTACTAAGGGTCTTGAAACGCAGTAAAACGAGCCAGTGTAATACAAGAGAAAAAACCTTCGTAACAGCTACCAGCCCATCAATCTTTTCAGCATTTTTCATTTCTATCCAAAATAAGCGAACTAGTGTTTTCGTCAAGAGTAACTTGCGAACAGGCCCTCATTATAAGTGCTTTGGTACGAGTGTTTCTTCACCCGCCAGAAAGTATCCGACGACAAGAGGTCAGCAAGGGGTCTAGCACTTTAAAAATAAGTCCAAACCCCTCCCAACTCGTCTCAAATCTTGCCGCTGGCGGAAAAACGCGCCGGCTAGCCAGCCTACAGGCTTGCTCGCTGGCTCTCGAGTATATCCTCATCGAAAAAGAACTTAAAACTCGGAGGCGGAGTATCTCCAGTATGTTCACAATCCTCGGGGAAAGATTATCGCAAAAGAAACATCTTCCACCGTTGAACAATAAAAGGTTATCAGTCAAAGATAGCAAAAAGCCGATTACCAGTACCCCTGGCACTCGCTATAATTTCGGTTATTTCAAAACGACAACCTTTAAGTTAAATGTTATTTTATAACCCTCTGAAAAAGCTGCTTTCTTAGGTGAAGAAGAAGCCATGGAAATATGATAAAAATGACAAGAATAAGAGCTCTTGTCGTAGGAAGTTATTCCTTCTCATTGTTGATATCTTAACTTAAATTCTATGGAAAGGATGCAGAAGGTTCACGGGAATAATTTTTTTGGAATAAATTTTTTGGACCCTGAAAATTTTGAGTAGTTCCGCTTGATCTTCTTTTCATCAAGTTACCAAAGTTGCGACAATGAAATATTTTTCTGGTATTCACAGTGCGCGAACCACCATGATAACTATTTTGCTTGCGCTCATTATTGACTGTTTTCAACTTTGACCTCACGAGTAGACAACCGTCACAAACGCTTTGAGTGGGGGAGGAAATTTAACAAATTCTATTAACTCTTCTGTCGACACACGCGTACATGCCCTCCAGAAAACTAGAAATTATCAAAGTGGGAGATATTTGCCGCATGGAATTTTGAATAAACCGTTATCTAATTTCCATTAACTAGCTCAAGAATGTAATCCAGACAAAGTCAATTATATTCAAAACCAGGTTCACTGAAATCGCCACGGGAATTGAAATGACTACGACTGAAAGCCTCTCTCCCTCCGGAGGTTTTCCCTGTAATTCCCATGACTGTGACTGAGGCAGAATTTCTCCTTAATAATATCAATACAATATTAAGCAGGAAAGTGATGGGATCAATTAAGGAATTATTAGTCGATCCAATACCAAGTTCTATGAGCTAACATTGTAACAATTGCATTGCAGACAGTAAGGAGAATTACTAAATAGACCTTGGGAGAGAAGGGGTTAACAAAGCCTTCTCAGTGTCGTCAATAGCCTTCTCTTTGACCACTCATTTAAGGTTTTACTTTTCAATATATGTTGGTGTCAGTAATTTTGCACAGTGCTGTGCGCGGTCTTAAACCAACTCCATAAAAAGAATAGTTGACACTTTGTTGACACATTTTTTTCATCAGTTGCAATCACCGCAGGATATCGATAATCCTCTCTGAATATAACTTACGAAATTAAGAAAAATTGAGAATAATCTATCTTAAGCCTTAGGGTCCACTAAAATAGACCATCGTATTTAGTTTGGAAAATAGAGAACAACTTCCCTTCGCGCTGCTTTAAAGGTCAAGGAAAGTCTCACGTATGTTCAAGTGGATCCTTTTCTCTGATACTTACTGAGTCATCAAGGTGTTATGCAGTCACGTATCATTTATTCCGGCCTCCAGTAAACATCCTCAGAGATTTTACCCAATCTTGATCTCTGAATGATAAGAAAAGAATCGATTAAAGCAGAAGTACTAATTCATCCGTATGGCTCGGTAAAACAACTAAACGTTTTCCATGGGAAGTAGTAAATGGCCTTATCAAGAACTGGCCCAAAACCCAACTTCCCTATCTGATGAAGGGCTAACTCGCGAAATGTCAGCTTTAGAGACTCGTTACGATGGCCAATTCACATTATCATCTCAGTTGATTAAACCAAATTATCTTTGCTATCTACAGTTTGGTAGTATAAAACGGAACAACGCATCATTCTTCACTGTTTTATGTTCCATAACCATTTGTTACTTATCTAAGGAATTTTTGTTAACTGATCCTGAAAAAATGCTCCACGAATTTAACATTCTTGTGAAGAAAATAAGAAAGATAGTAAATTTTAACTTAAGCCGTCGAAAAAAAGAAAGATTTTACTGGTTTTGTCCATCGCGTGTGACAAGTCTGAGTCCCCCCCCCTCCCAAAACCGGGCTTTCGACCCCTTCTCATTATTCTACTTCATTTACACGCACAACACTTTCGTTTTGATACGACCTTGCCATCGGGTATCGCGCTCCTATGCTTTACCACTGAGTTAGAGAGAACTCGATTGCTATAGGTTAGCTCATTTATTATCAGGTTCATACGTTCCAAGTGTGTGGGGTTCGATTCCCCAACGAAGTTGGTGTCTGGTGACCCTCGGTCTATGGTGAACCCAAACCTAAGGCATTGTAAGTTAGCCATGGGTTTGATCAGACTTGATGTACGGCAGACATTGCACCGTCCTCACGAGAGCTTGGCCGTTCACCTCAAACACACACTCACAAGAAAGGTTCAAGCGTCCTACATAATGCAAGAAACAGCAATGGCATTCCTGTTGCGCTCTGTTGCGCACTCGAGATGTTATCGATGTTTTTTTTTATATATTTGAAGTGTTATTGATGAAGAGTTTATCTCGGAACTATCATTTCTTCAACCAAAAGAATGTCTGGTAGAGATGGTACTATGTTATTTATCTCTCTCTTCTGGGTGGGCGCCCTTAAATCGCGATTGAAAAAATGTCGCAAAAATGATAAAAGAACTCCTATAATGTATATCCACGAGTTTATTCCGGTAATTTGTTGAAATCATATTTCACATGCAGGAAGTAGTTGGCAAACGTGTAAAGACACTAAAAATTGACTACTCCATCAATTAGCGGTCATAGAGTTCTCTCAAGTGGACATGGACAATTATTTGTGTTATGTACCTTTGGCCCTTGCGTGGACAACGAAAGCGCACAGAAATATAATAATGAATTAATATGGTTAGGTTGATCGAGAAGCTAACATAATATAGGGGAGAAAATATGTGGTAATAAACTTTTGGAGATTCTGTAATTAGGAAACAGGTCAGGTTTCTGATGATGTTAATTATAAGATGTTTAGACGGTGTTAACTTTTCACACCCAGGTTCGCGATGGAGACTATGCAGCTTAAGTTATTCCGTGAGGTTATCGTGGAGAGCGATTCAAGTGCAATAAAGAGTTTCCAATTATTTGAATACTTTCTGCTGGCTAACATAACACTGGTAATGCAAGTCTTTTTTCTTTGGTCTTTCTCTTCACAGTGATAATGTTCCCTCGCATTTGTTTTCCAGCCAAAAAAGCATAACCATAAAAGCTTTCACTATGTCTAGTTTGCAAGAAACATCCGTTTCCTGTAGTCATCTTTCTAGGTATTTGTGT